GCATAAGGAAACTATATTTTAGTTCCTATATCATATAACAAAAGGTTCAGGTCATGTCAGATCTTCACGTATGAATTTTAAGTTCGTATTTTATGTTTGACACCATTATTTTTCTGCATTGTTTTCTGGCAAGTTTGTAAACCCCTTAATTTTAATTTGTCGAATTAGTAGCGTTTTAGATCGTTTTTACGGCTTCATTAATATGTGCGCGACGAAATTTCTATGTATATATAAAATTTGTGATGTAATTTTGTCGTATGGACAAAATTTGTGATGTAATTTAATGATAAATCCGATGCATTTCTTCATAGAATGAATTTACGATTGGTTTCATACATATTTTTTTACAATTCCAATTTATGATTTAAGAAGCATTACGCATTTTCGTTACTTGGTATTTCTTGCTTCGACCTATACTGAACATTGTTTTTGCAATATATTGTCGTTAATTCAAGACAGTTGTTCATAAAATCCCGCTAATGATAATTTTTTTCTGTAGTGATCTCTTTTTGACTTGAATTTTAGTGGTCCATGTCTTCCCCTCCAGGGAGTTCTCACAAGCCCCCACGAGGGCAGGCGCCGTTATTCACGGAGCCGCTGCAGACGCAGCGCGTAAGTCACGCGTGCTCGGCCGTGCTAGAGGCACGCGTCACGGGACACCCGCCCCCAAAGGTGATTTGGTTCCAGGGTGGAAAGGAGCTGCCAAACTCACCTGACTTCCGGCAGGAGTACGACGAGACCAGCGGGCGCTTGCGCCTCATCATAACGGAAGTTTTCGTTGACGACCAAGGGCCCTACCGAGCGCTGGCAGTGAACGACTTTGGGAAAGACGAGACGACCGCATTCGTTGGACTCGATGATCTTGAATTTTTGGATAAAAATGAGCTGCGTCAGGCTCCTCGCATCACAGAACCGCTGAAAGCTAACATTATCACGGCGCACTCCGCCGTAGATATGACCGCAAAGTTTGAAGCCTTTCCTCCCCCAACAATTAAGTGGTATAAGAAGGGCAAAGAAATCAAACCCTCCGTTGAGTTCAATATTGAACACCAAGCAAACTCTACAACGCTGCACATTGAAGAGGTTTTTGAAGATGATTCCGGAGAATATGAAGTTAGGATTTTCAATGATGCAGGAGAAGCAAGGACGGCGGCTTCACTTGTCGTCCTCAGTGAGTATCTGCAAGTATGTTTTTACTGCATTAAATTTTATCGAAATGAATCACTACTTCTTTCAAAGAATTATGGATAAATGTGAGTTGAACTTATCTCCTCGTTTGGATACAATTACTCTCTGAAGAGAGTCACCTTTAAATGTTAAACCTGTAAGTGGTCTTATTTTTTGGAATAATCTATAAATATTCTAAATATTATACAAAAAATGCATTTAGAACACCCAAGTATGAAAACTGACGATCGAAATGTATAACATGTGACATGGGTTCAACAGAAAAAAAATTTTTGGAGCCCTGGCTCACGAGATCATTACTTAAAACACTGAAAAAGGTCAAAATAACACCAAAAATATATCATCAAATTTTATTTTTCTCATTTCCTCAGTTTTTACTGAAAATGTAAGATTCTAATGATTACTCCGAAATTCAGTTAACTTGTGATTTTAGGGCTCCGAATTATTAGGGATGCTGAATTCATTCTGTAAATAATTATCTTGACGTTCTAGCGAGATTGTTGCTTCCGTTTCAGAAGCGGAAGAGAAAGTGGTAATGGCGCCTCCTGAATTCAGCAAGGCGTTGGCGCCTCAGATTGTGCCTGAAGGTGAAGTCGTCATTTTTGACGTGGAGGTCCATGCTGTACCTGAAGCCTTTTTCTCCTGGTACAAACATGGTATCAAGATCACCGATGATGAAGAACTCGAGGTCTCAATTACGTCGCATGAAAACAAATCCCGTTTGGTTATCGGCGAAGTTTTTGAAGACGACAGCGGCGACTACAGCGTCACCGCAGAGAACGAAGTTGGGCGCGCCTCTTCAACAGCTACACTCCTGGTAGAGGGAGATGGTGCTACAGATGCGGTAGCCCCAACATTTACCTCGTTGCTCAGCCCCCTACAGATCATGGACGGACAACAGGCACGCTTCGCTTGTCAGGTTGTAGGTACTCCGACTCCTCAGATATCTTGGTTCCATGAGGGTCGGCCCATTGGCCACCACAAGGAAGTAAAGGTCCTTCAGAGTCAAGATGGACGTGTCGGTCTCGTCATCAATGAAGTGTTCCCCGAAGATGCAGGGGAATACACTTGCGTGGCGCGGAACAAGGCTGGCGAGAGCAGATGTACCGCCACGCTCACGGTTGAAGGTTTGTATCGAGTATATTTTGAAGTTGTTCTGTGTAATAATGCATTTCCTATGTACTGAATTTTTTTTTACTAATTGGTATTTTTCACCAATTTTTGTGATATTTTTTCATAAAAATCCGCGTTATTCAATCACATACCATAAATTCGACAATTAATTATTTTTCATATTCATGTTTATATCGTTTAATCTCGAATTTTATTTATATCGAATTGTGAATAACATTTCAATCTATTCCTCGTTTTCTACACATTTAATTTAAAAATGATCGAACGCAAAAAAATATACAAGGCGTTTAACAGACAATTATATATGTTTAAATTTTACTTTTCCCTTATAACAGAGTACGAATATACTCCAGACTCGGAGGTCTCTACTCTAGTCTCCCCTTCTGAGAAAGTCACTCAACCTGCCTCCGTCGCGTCTGAGGAAGACGCGCTGGAGACAGAAAGGGGAAGTAGTAGCGACTCTGATTTCTCTGAGATCGGCTCCTCGCCTGAGTTCATCGAAAGCTTACCAGCGCAGGTCGAAGTCACTGAAGGCCAACCGACAAGGTTAATATTAATATAATAATAATAATATTTCAAAAAATAATGCCAAGGCATCAATAGACTTGAAATAAATGTACTTCATGGCAAACGAATTATTTTATAAGATATTGTCAATTACCTTCTTATGTGCGTTGTCTGGCAGCTATGAAGCTTGTTGAGCTGCAAGTTTATGCTTATTGTGATTGAAAATGAAAAGGGATGAGGATAGTTATCCGTTCGTTTCAAGACATGATGCATATTTTCTCCGGTTTTGTATTTGCTTGCCAATTTCACCTTATTAAGCTTGTCACCTTATATTTACGGTTAATATCACAATAATGCACGAACTCCAGACCATCGTTAGATCATATATTTTATCTACATATTAATCGCAGAATGTGAATCAGTGGTAATAAAAAATTTCATAATATAATTGTGAAATTAATTTTTTTTTTACTCTACTATGAAGATTTTTTGCTGCAACATAATTGTCAAGCCTGTAATATTCATGCAATGAGCTTAGCATCAAATCTGTCTGATTACAGTCTTCTTGTGTTAACCAAACGTGCAACATGCCTTCTATTATTGTTTGAAAAACCAGCTGGTTTACACTGTGAAACGATCAACTGAAGTTCTCTCAATTTTACATCCTAGACTGCTGACGAAGGTAATAGGCTACCCTCGGCCAAGCGTAACCTGGCTTGTAGATGGCATGACAGTGAGGGTAAGCGAGGGACTATCCCTCGAGCATTACGAGGATGGCACGGTGTCCCTGAGTCTGCCCGCGGCAGCAGCGGTGCAGTCCGGTCAATACACGTGCGAGGCGCAGAACAGGAACGGAGTCGCGACCTGTTCTACGAACCTGGTCGTGGTGCCTTCAGGTATGACCTGCTCCTTCTGTCCTGTTTAGAGATAATTAATTTTACGCTCTTAATTCCAATTTGTTATTTAGAAAATTTTTGAATTAGAACATTTCTGAGCTGTGTAGGCAGAAGTCTTATGGCAAAATTTTAAATTTAGTTGACATTTAGTTCCACCGAAGCTCCTGGGAAATAATGCCTAAAAATGAATCAAACGAGTGAGTTTTGAGCTGATGAGTCGAAGAAGACAAATTAATGTCATTTTATTTAAGGAGTCTTGGAAATTTTTTGATGAAAATAAGTACATGCTTTGATGTATGTTAAATTTAGTATTTTAGAAGCCATGCAAAGTTCTGGAAACCAATATAAAATGGCAATCTGATGCATTACTCAAAAAAATTGTCGACGGCTCAAATTGATAAATTTGATAACTGAGCCTGAAAAGTGAAAGAAAGTCGAACATGTGGATAATTAATTCGAAATTTAGTCTATTTGGTAGTTAAAATAGGCGATTGACAAACCCATCACAAGTTTGTCGTGACCAAACCACAATGTGAATTCCACTTCACGTAATCTCTAAGCATTTCAGTGGTGTTTAAACTTAAGTCAAATGATCCTAGAATTTGGTGATTCCGCTTTGTGCGAATAGGGAAAAAATTTAAATTAATTAGTGGAATTTTTAGATATTTTACGTGTATTCTTTTAAAACAGTTGGAATTTAATTAAATACCGTAGTCTTGATGTAGAACTGCTTAGTTGGAATAATATCCATTCAAAATTACTTATTCAAATTGTAATGTCACGTAACAAATGAATTTCGCCGCCTGAATCAGAGATAGATTTTATCCGGTTAAATTCGGCTTTTCATCTCAAAGAAACGAATTTTTAAAATAGTTCTGCATGAGAAGTGAATTATAATAGACATTAAAATAATTTCTAGTTCCTGAAGACTAATCTAAACATATGTTGAACTTTTTCTTAATTATTATGGATGACCTATAATTCACCATCTTCCTTCCACAGAACGTTCATGGTGGTATCTGCGGTTCTTCTTACGCTGTCCATTTGCGTGTAATCTTGAATCTGCCCTAATACGTTTTTCTCGGCCTTTTTTCTCCATTCATTTCATCACATCATTTCATTCTCATGGGGACTTAGGTGATGGTAGCTTTATATCTGGAGTAAAACCAGAAACAGGACATAATATGACATATATACTAGGGTTAGCATGCCTAACTTGAATCAAATTCTATTGGATTCGCCATATGAATGAGTATTTACGTGACGTTTTTGCAGAACATTCTGAGGGCACCGCGTCCTATCGCAAACCTGAGTGGGTGACTCGCATGGAGGAGTTAAAGACCGCCATGCAAGGTAGGACGAGAGAAATTCCTGTTTTGGGTGCATCCTTAACAGCTCAAACCCCTGTCGTGTCTGAGTCTAACCCTCTGCCAGAACAACAACTGCAGAGACACGCAGCAGCTGTCCCTTTGAATATGGTGAATAAATACACTGGTGTGAAAAAACGCATTGCCCAAATGCTTGGTGTGCACGGCTTGAAAAACACTCCATGTGTGTCTCGTTCTCTCTGTGCTGGTCTCAACGCTTTGCCAACTTCGGTGAGTTCATGCACTTCTTCTGAAAGCCTTGCTGTCGTGTCTTCGATTTCGCAAGACTCATTGAATGCTGCTAGATATTCACAATCTGAAATCGATTTCTCCGAGTTTGGTAGTCGGACTACGATGGTCGGGAGTAACGGAACCTCCAATGCGACAGGCTCGCAGACTGACAAGACCGGCCTCGCGTCCAGCTCCGTTTCACTGGGAGATCTTTCAATGGGATCAGATTCAGTTTTTGTATCCGAAACAGAGACCATTAGTGATATGAGTCGGATGAATGATCAGCTCTTCCAAAATACGCTCATGAATTCCACTTACTGCGCAGATGTTATTAAAGGCGGTCCCCTGAGCCCTGGCATGAAGCATGTCCATTTCCATCCTGATGGAGGCAGCACCAAAAATGATGTACACCATAACTTTGCGCAAACGGTTCTGACTGATTATCTCAGCTCTCATCGTAACTCTATTTCTAAATTCATCGAATCTTTGAGTAACGAATCGTCTCCTGACCACGACCGACCGCCCTATGAAGTTGGGAATGAGAACATCAAGTCCGTCATGCCCTTAACATTAAGCGCTTCCTCTTCTTCCCTTTCTGACAAGGTTGTCGGTGAAAAGGAACCAGTTCTTCCACAAGATAGAACATTATGTTCTGAACCTGATAAAGACGAGGTGAGCAAAAGACTAGAAGTGAAGAATGATATCGAATTGAAGTGCGAACTTGTCTCACCGCCAAAAAATGAGGAAGAACATTATTCCGACGTTAGCATAGATGAAAGCGTAGAAACAAGTTTTCCACATGCTTTCAATAGTAATCTGTCGACGCCTCCAAAAGTTCGCCCCAGCAATTCTGCCCGTTCTCATCAAACTTTTATTTCGAAATGTCACATATTATTTTCAACCGACGGACCGCGATCGGAATCCTGTGGAGCTTCACCTATTACCACCCCCATTTTGAATCGGAAATTGAAAAGCCAAGGTAACTTCTCCAAAATTCCAAAACTAATCATGCGAGCTCTTTCTGACAAAGCCGACAACATCAAAACCACCCAAATGAATCATCGCTCAGTCAGCGAACCATGTACTCCCTTGATGTCGCCAGAATGCGAGAGAAGAATGTCAAAAATTCCTGTAAGACAAAGTTCCTTCTCCAATGACGGTTTTAGCAAGGGAATTGAAAACCTTAAAAGTGATCGGAATAAAGTTAGTCGTTCAGTTTCTAGTCCATGTCGTAAACTCCGAGCTTCATCTGAAGAAAAATCGCCGTCACCTATCAAGCGATCATCAACTCTTTCTCCTATCAAGACCATCAAAGAAAGAGGATCTGCGGCATTCAGTTTACCGTCAACGCCAACTTTCAGGAGACGCGGGAACGTAGCGCCATCATCAACCTTTGAATGTAGGCAGGCCATAACTAATACATTGCGCTCTTCAACTCAACCGTCATCTCCTGCTTGCAGACGAAAAACAAATCTCAACAGAAGCCCATCTGCGCTGTCCAGTATGTCACGTTCATCTGCCGCAGGCTCTCCTCAAAAAGCCTCTAGTCCTATCCGTTCTATTCCTTCATCCAAGTCGATTCCGAAAACAAATGTCCAGACTGCAGCAAAATCTTTTTCTCCCGTTCCCAATGATGCCGACTTGAATTCTCAATTAACGCATTCTGAGAACCATCCCAAGGGGGTGCCATCAACTTCGGAAAACTGCCACTCAACAAAATGTTCTTCGCCGTCTACTCCAAATTCCCAGCATGAGTCAGTGCCAAAGTTTGAGATGGAAGTGGAAATTGAAATTGAAGATGAAAGTGTAGCTGATACCACTAAAGAATTTCCAGGTAACAACATTACAAATCAAGACAAGGAGTTGCTAACTGACTTCTTACCGAAGAATCAGTGCGATGTGCCTGTTAATGTTGCCATCAGCGTGAATTCTAATTTCTCCAGAGAATCAACTCCTGTGTCAGGTTCTTCACGGGGAGCATCTCCTCTTGGCATGAAGTCAATGGTAAAGCATTCCAGTACTTATACTTGGCACCCTTCGGTCCCTAATGCTAAGCTGTCGGACGTCGCATACCACAGTTCCAGTTCCATCTCTACCCAGGCCTCAGAGTGTTTATCTCCCAAGGAAAGAAGTAAAGGTTCGACAAGACCCGCATTTATGCCATCAACTTCGATTTTGGAGATTCTTAACACCGATGTCTACTATCGAAAAGAGCCTAAACAACTCATCGAAACGCTGATTGCAACTCCGTTCTTTGATGATAAATACATCCTTTCAGTTCGAAGAAAATCTTCGTGTAATATGGGGCTTCCGAGAGCTGACAGTTTGGAAGAGTTTCTTACGCTAGAGAGCGAATGCATGGTCGGGAGGAAGTAAAGGTATGTTCTGTTTTGAGTCTTGCTTTTTGAGTGTCGCTTTAACTTTTTGGCTTTTTGTATATAGCATTAGTAAGTGGATATTATCATGACAATACCCCAATGATTTCAATAATCAATGTTTGATAATTTTGTTGTTGTGTTTCAGCGGAGCACATCGAGCCCCAGTTCGTACAAGAACTGGTAGACGGCAGAATTAAGGAAATGGATAGTCACGTTTTCACAGTCACATTCGTTGGTAACCCTAAGCCAGAAATTACATGGTATCATGACAATCTTCTCATTCATCAACTACAATCTTATCAAGTGAGTATGAAATGATCATTTATTAAACCACGTTGATCAAATTATGTTGGTGCCAGATGTAAGTGATAATTCTGATTTCTCGTAAGCATTTTCGTGGTTAAGTCTACAAATTTGCTGTGCAAAGATGCATTAATTGTATGAGAACTTCAATTACAGCATTGAAGACTATGACTTGTATATTAGAAAATAAGGCTTCATAAAATCAGGCCAAAACATCAATAAACTTGGAATAAATGTACTTCATGTCTATCGAATTATTTTTATAAAATCTTGTCAATTATCTACGTGACAGCATAATTATTTGCCTCTTCTTAGATAACTTATGATATCACATTATGACATCTAGCTAAGTGCATTAAAAATATGTTGCTATTCGCCAGCTCGAATGACAATTAATGTAGCTAGTCGCTCAGAATAATATGAAAATACGACATACCTTTCTTAAAGTGCGCTAACAAGAACAGCACCACGTTTGGGCAGCTTTCTAACTCGGTACGAGTATGACTCGGCTCGGCCTACCCTTTTCATACTCTCAGGCGACTATAGAGTCGGATCGGTGCTTCTGATATGATTTTGATTGGGTGGCCAAGCAGACCCGGAATAACTTTGCGCCGAGTGTAGTGATTATTCGGCCGAAGCCTAGGCGGTTCTCTAATTATGTTAGGGAAGGATCCACACATAAAAATGAATAAAAATTAAATTAATTGATGGTTGATTTTGATTATGTCAGCCTGTGAAGAGTAGATAAGTGCTTGAAGGAACCTACTGCAATTCATGCTAGCCCACTGTAATGTGGGGTTGCGGTATTTTCATGCTTTTCTGTGAGACTTGCTTCCTCAATTTTAATTCAGCAAAAATATTTAAGTGCTCTTAGATAATAACTTAGGTATCGAATAAACATTAAGCGAAGAATCATCCAATATGTACTGAAATGAACATCTATTTATGGACATAAATTCTCCAATAAGAAGATGCCTTCTTAAATTAAGCCCTTACTTTAAAGTCGTACATACATTTTCTATGGAAGAATACAAGGTGTTACTCTAAAGCTACTCTTAAGATGCCTCCTTAAATTAAGCCCTTACTTTAAAGTCGTACATAAATTTTCTATGGAAGAACACAAGGTGGGACTATAAAGCTACTCTAAAGATGCCTCCTTAAATTAAGCCCTTATTTTAAAGTCGTACATAAATTTTCTATGGAAGAACACAAGGTGTTACTCTAAAGCCACTCTAAATATGCCTCCTTTAATTAAGTCCTTACTTTAAAGTCGTACATAAATTTTCTATGGAAGAATACAAGGTGAGACTCTAAAGCCACAATTTGGACCTTGTCTCTGCTCAGATGCGTGTGCGCGGCGACAAAGCCTTCCTGACGCTGGTGGAGGCGTCGCCTAAGCACAGGGGCGAGTACGTGTGTCGTGCTGTCAACTCAGCTGGGGAGGCCTATACCAAAGCTACACTCGAAGTCGTTGGTGAGTATAATTACTTATTAAAAGTATCGACGCGGCTGCTGATGCTTCGTTATTATGATTTGTTTTCCGCATATTTCTTTGCTTCTTATAGCATTCATTATTCTCTTCATGATGCATTTTGCTTCTTATTAGTTAAACATATATTTTCGCATGCATTAAAGCTAATAGAAAAGAAAACAGTCTGTGTAGTTCGTGAAATTTCGTATTGTGAAGTACTGCCTTCGTGGTTGTGCATTGCCAGATTGTATTGTAACTGGTGCTGTAGACTTGTGAAAATTTTAAATTCTTAATTTTATATTGCTAATGTTTCCATGTACCATTGTACCATCTCTTCAAGTAGTGTCGCTGTTTTGAGACTGTTTTCTTTCCTAACTGTCTCTATACCCATAGTTGAGACTTCATTTTTTTCGCTCTGCAGAATTAACATACGAAGAGAAATTAACTATTGCAAATGAGCGCTATGCTGCCCTCAATATCCAGCACGCAGCGCAACATATGAAGGTCAAAGAGCGCGAGCGAAGCGAGAAAGAGAAGCATGCACACAAAGAAGCTATGCTAAGGATGAAGGAAGAGAGGCAGAAAGCTAACATTGAAAAAGAGAAAGAGCTTGAAGAAGCAAAACTCAACACGTGGAAGCCTCAACGTCGTGTGTCAGAGGCACCTCCACTTAAGGAGGTGGAACCACTGACACCAAAAGAATACCGCATCGACCAAGTTTACACCAACTGGAAAGCACCTATCGCTATCGAAGAAACGTATCCCGAAATCGAGCCTGAGGAATTTTCACCGAGTCAAATTCCCGGTGTGAAATGTTTCGTTCGAGTCTCCGACACATCAATCAGAGGAGAAGAAGTGGTCAAAGAAATTGCGCCTAAGTTCTTTGAGGATGAGCAAGTCATAATCGAGTTGGCCCGGGTTCACACTTTATTGAGGAACAGCGTCCGTGTCAACGAGATTTGGTCTCTTTTCCGTGCTGGGGAATTTCCAGCTCTGCAGCAGCCAAGCATTCAGACAGCGCTCGTCAAGATATGCGAGTACATTGGTCACCAGAGGAATGTTTCGCTAGTCCTAGCCGAAGAAACGAAATTGCAGTCACAGCAACACCCAGTAGGCTTGAAAGCCTTTTTGCGCATGTTGAAACATGCTAGTAACGTGCGCCAAGACATTCTCTTCAAAGAAGTAATTCCTAGAGAGATGGGCAAGTGGTCGACCACTACTCAGGAGCTTGAGAAAGTATCCCAGATGCTTAACCAAGGCATAGAAACGGAAGAAATCATTGCCTTCTGCGTAGCTGGACAACTTCCTCAACTCAAGAAGCCGGAGACCCAGCAGCCGCTCGTGAATATTGTTGAGAAACAAGGACACTCGGTGATGGTGGCTCAGGTCCTCGTCGAAGAGGCTTATAGAGATGCCAAAGAAGGTGGGTGGCTTCTAGCAAAAAAAAAAAATTAATGCTAAACAAAACACAGTACAAACTCGTGAAATAGATTGACTTGAAAAAAGAAGTTCACTTTCCCGAAGTCTGGATTTTAAACATTTTTAGATTCACTCGGCATGTAAAGTATAATTGCTGTAGAGATTCGAAAAATTTCATGTTACTCAGTTTGGACTCTCAAGAAAATTAGGGCCATTTTAATTCTTGCAATTCTACTATAGTTTGTTTATTGGTTTTGTGGCTAATAAAATATTATTTGCTCAGCTTAATGCAGGACTTTGCCGCCCGGATGCTCGCCTTTACTTTTTAGTCGCGCTTCTGGAAATTTTCTGAGTTTTTCTATGTCAACTCACTATGTCTTTCTTTCAGGATACGAATTTAAATTGTTTGATTTCGTGCAATGTAGTTTAGAATATGAACCTTTGTTTGGTATATAGTGTTTTAGATTTTTGCTTATATTCAGTCCCATCCCCAATGACCATATAAGAATCGGCATATCGAACTATGTAGTGGCTTTCGAGGTTTATCGCTCCGAGTTGATATTCATGAAGTGTGCTCTAGGTGTGCTAGAGATTTTAAAGTTGATTGTGGGGTGGGTTTCTGAAATCTTTAGTGCTTTACCCCGCGGTTTGGCTCATTTGTCCAGCCCGAAATGATTGTAGTTTCCTTCGCTGCTATTGAGATCTATGCTTATTCTTCTGGATATGTCGTGGCTTCTCAGACCGCGTGTTGGCTGAACATGCATGGCAGGTCTTCCACGAGGAGGAGCTGGCACACGCCGCCATTTCTCAGGTTGAAAAAGGTAAGGACCACTCATCAAATCTACTCAATGAAGCTATTTCTGTTTGGGACTTCATTTTATTTACAGTGCTAGTAATCCTTGGAGATTGATTATTATTATTATTATTATTATTCCACGAAGAGATTGTCGTGGCGTCTCGTTCGGATCGAACTTCGAGGGCACGATAGCATTCTTCGTTCATTATCTGGACTTACTATTTTAGATACAGAAGTTACTATGATCCTGAAATTGAGATTAATAGCAGTGGTTGTTGCTATTCATTATCTATTGAAGTGGATTATTATTTACTTTTTTAGAACATTCTGTTCATATTTTGATGCCTCGTTGTGTTTCCGTCCTCCGTCTTAGTATAAGTTCGCCACAGCACCTTCAACTTTGCACCAAATTAAATCCATCATTTGACGTAGATTTCACATAAAATTCTGGTTGATTCTTGACCTTAATTTGATGCTCACCGACAGAGACTCATGTGCTAGACTATGAGACGAAGGAATCGGAGGTTGAGAGTCAAGGTACACAAGAAAGACTCGAGCCTCTACCATACCGAACACAACCTCTCTCGCCAGCCAAACCACTACAAACTATAACTTCCCAAGAACCTACTTTCACAGCGCCGGAAATCACTGAGACACTCCAAACCTTTGTTGAAACAGATGACTCTACCATAACTTCAGAGCACCCTCTGACAGAAACGACTGAGTTCCCCTTGTCCTCGAAACCTAAAATTAAGAAACGGGTAGTGAAAAGAGTGATACGCCCCAAAGAACTAAAAGACAGAGATACCCGACTCGCAGGCGATCAGCATTTTATCAGCGGCGACACTGACCAAATTCATGAAACGCATGAGCCAATCTTGTATTCTGATGTTTATTCTGAGCAATTCGACCACACACAACTTGAAATTGGGGAAAATGTTGACTCGTATGCCATGCAGAAAACAAGGGACTTAGACGACTCAAATATCATGTCCAATTATGTGCGTGAAGAAACTGATCAAATTGAAAGAGAAATGCCCTCCCAGCCCTTTACTGAAGTGACTGATTACACAGAACTAAATTTGAACACTGACGTTGACGTTTCTATTGAGCAAACCAAAGACTTGTCTGATTCTGATGCCATTACCATTGGAAAAGATGAAATCGGTCTGGACCAACTACCAACCAAGCATCCCAAAACTTTATTAGAAAAACGCCCTCAACCCCAAAAGACAACATTCTCTCAAGCAGCCGTTTCTTTGAAACCTATCAAACGTGAATCTCGACAACCTGAGCAATCACAGTACACTGAACAGGTCCAATTGAAACCAACAGCCAAAAAGACTCTGAGGGAAGACAAACCTCCCGAGAAAGTTCAGTTGCGACCTGTTATCACAGAAGACACTAACACAACTACTGTGGCACAAAGAAAAATTGAATCTATATCTAAAATTTCTACACCCGAACCCATTCCAGAAACTGCGCAGGTGGCATTAAGCTCTCCCATACCAGAAGAACTACTTGTTGATGTTCCTGCAGAAAGTGATGTAGTTCCTGACGAACAGATAGAACCGGAAGAAACTCCATTCGCTGATAACATTGTTACTCAAGTCACGGAACAAGTATCGGCACCTGGTTCTCCTAGCACCAAGAAAAGAATTATTAAGAAAAGAATAATTGTTAAAAAGAAACCTGATGCTGAACCTGAGCAGATGAAATTTAGAGCTCCCAAACAGCGCGACTTGAAGCCAGACGAGGAACCTGAAGTAGTTACACTAAAGCCGTTCACAAAACCCTCACAAGATGTTCCAAAGCCTCACACTGTTCAGCCAGTGGAAGAAAAACCACTTGGACTAAAGAGCATCACAATACCGGAACGAGAAGATGTAAACTTGGAATATCGCAACTTGGATTTAGTTTCTACTGTGAAGGAAGAGGCCCCACAAGATATCTACAGAGCTCCTGTACAGCCTGAAGAACAAGAACTTCCAGCTTCCGAAGAACCAAAAGCTACTAAGCTAATTGGTCTTAAAAAGGTAGTCGAAGAAAAAACTGAACCGGAGCCGTTGAAGTTTAAAATCAAGCAGCGGCCAAAGGAGCCTGAGCAGGTGCCCGAAGAAGTTCATTTGAAACCGATCCCTGAGAAGGAACCACTAATTGAAGAAAAATTACTTGCGGAAATTCGTCCAATTGAAATACCAGATAGAGTTGAACCTATTCCTGAAGCTGATGCTCCTGAAAAGAAGACGAGAAGAGTCATTAAACAAAAGAAGGAAGCAGAACAAGAAAAGGTGGAACTTAAACCAATAACGAAACCGACAAGAGACGAAAAAACAAAAGATGAAGAAAAAATATTGAAACCGCTCAAAAAGATCGAACCGCTGCAGCCCGCAGTGGATGACGTGGAGTTGAAGCCACCGAAGAGGCTTCCGAAACAAGATGAGATCTCGGAAGAAGTTAAATTAAAGCCCTTCAAAAAGAAAGAAATTCCAAAACCTGAGGAACAGCCCAAACCTCTTCAGCTGAAGCCAGTTCAGAGAACTCCTAAGCCGGAACCTGAACCGGAAGAAGTCAAGCTAAAGCCAGTTCAGAAAACTACTAAGTCGGAACCTGAACCGGAAGAAGTTAAACTTAGGCCAGTTCAGACAACTCCAAAACCAGAGCCAGAACCGGAAGAAGTCAAGCTAAAGCCAGTTCAGAGAACTCCTGAGCCAGAACCTGAACCGGAAGAAGTCAAGCTAAAGCCAGTTCAGAGAACTCCTAAGCCAGAACCTGAACCGGAAGAAGTAAAACTGAAACCTGTTAAGAGAACTCCCAAGCCGGAACCTGAACCAGAAGAAGTAAAACTGAAACCAGTTAAGAGAACTCCTAAGCCAGAACCTGAGCCGGAAGAAGTCAAGCTAAAGCCAGTTCAAAGAACTCCAAAGCCAGAACCTGAACCAGAAGAAGTTAGGCTAAAGCCAGTTCAGAGAACTCCAAAGCCGGAACCTGAACCGGAAGAAGTAAAACTGAAACCAGTTCAGAGAACTCCTAAGCCGGAACCTGAGCCGGAAGAAGTAAAGCTAAAGCCAGTTCAGAAAACTCCAAAGCCGGTACCTGAACCGGAAGAAGTCAAGCTAAAGCCAGTTCAGAGAACTCCGAAGCCGGAACCTGAACCGGAAGAAGTAAAACTGAAACCAGTTCAGAGAACTCCTAAGCCGGAACCTGAACCGGAAGAAGTCAAGCTAAAGCCAGTTAAAAGAATTCCAAAGCCGGAACCTGAACCGGAAGAAGTCAAGCTGAAGCCAGTTCAGAGAACTCCTAAGCCAGAACCTGAGCCGGAAGAAGTCAAGCTAAAACCAGTTCAGAAAACTCCAAAGCCGGAACCTGAACCGGAAGAATTCAAGCTGAAGCCAGTTCAGAGAACTCCAAAGCCAGAACCTGAACCGGAAGAAATCAAGCTGAAGCCAGTTCAGAGAACTCCTAAGCCAGAACCTGAACCGGAAAAAGTCCAGCTAGTACCAACTCAGCGGCCGGTGGAAGCACAGCCAGAACCTGAAAAGATCAAACTGAAGCCGGTTCCAAAGCCTTCTCAGTCAGAGCAGGCTCCTGAAGAAGTAAAACTAAAACCAGTGCCCCAAGTCCCCGAGCCAGAACTTGGAGAAATGCCCGTTAAACCCAAACCAACTACCAAAACAAAATCGCCACAACCTGAACCAACACCTGAATTAGTCACGTTAGAACCAGTAACGAAACCCACCCAGCCAGAACCACAACCGCTGGCACCTGCTCTCATCACAGGTAAGACCGTGAACACGAAACCCAAAGAGGATATAGACGCACTACAAGAAGGAAAAGTCTCTACTTTTTTGAACAACTTTCATTTCAATTGAACCGCAATTACTTTGCCTACATTTTCAGAATAGCTATATGCATGTCGCTGCGATATTCCTCAATGAATGAATTTTTAAAAACTTTTTTACGATGTTCGTAACTAACTGTAAATAATGTGACAGGATTTACGAATTTGAATGGCTGGAGAAGTTAACTTACGCAAAAATGCATCTAATATCTTGAAATGTAAAATTTATTTTCTTCATTTCTTTGACGGAATTTAAAAAAATTCACGATTCCCCAATGAACACAGATTATTATTTCAAATTATTTGTTTCGCTTCAGCTTACGTTCACTTCAAGAACGTTTCTCAATGTTTTGGATGCACTTGCTTACAAAATTATGCAAATTATTTTCCATGGCGGTTGTGATCGATTTAGTCGTGATTGTTCAATTGTTTAGAATCGTGAGACTTGGAAGCCTATGTGCGTCTCTAACCTCTTATTAAACACGTAACCTCGAAAAGGTTCAACATAACACTAATTTTAAACCATTTTATAACATACGACGGAGAGCTTATATCCACTCTAACCACATACTCGCTAACAATTCAAAGCTATACCTATCACCCCTCTTCCAGACATCGCTACATGAAAATACTACATTCGTGTAAATTTGTATTGATTTTTGTGACATTTGAGTTACATCACCTATGAAAAAATATGATATTTTGCAGAGGAAAAAACCACAGAAGAGTTTGTTGTGGATGAGCAAACTGCGCGGTTGCTTTTGGCTGAAGCCCAAAGCTCAGTTCAGCGTGAAGTGTTGGTGACTTCGCAGCTAAATCGACAAGTGCAACAAGTTACTACCTCCCGCGAACAAGTTGTCAGTGAAGAAGGAGTTCAAATGCAGGTTATTGAAGCTCCGAAGCAGGAAGTTACGGTTAACCGGGAAGTTAGTCAGCTCCAGCAAGTGTCAAGTGAGCAGCCTATGTTGCTTATGAAGGAGAGTCAATTCACAATTTCTCAACAATCTGAAAATTTGGAAACTATGACGGAGAGCTTTGTACAGCATCAGGCTTCATTCAGCCAACAAGAATCAGTAATGAATAAAAGCATTATTCAGCAGACCGAAGTCCAAAAATCCCCGACAGTAGTAAGAAAAGTCAAGAAAATAATCAAGAAGCCGAAGAAGCTTACAAAAGAAACCGTCGAAGTGACCACGATTGACGATGATGTATCTGAAGAGAAACCTGTTGAAGAGAAGCCTGTTGAAGAGAAGCCTGTTGAAGAGAAGCCCACCGAGTCCCTTGTCGAAGAAATTATCCAACCTGACGAAGAAGAGGTCATGACAGTAACCGAGGTCGTTCAGCGACCGCAAACTTATCATGAAGAAAGCACAATCGAACGCCTCGTGACAGACGTTAAAGAAGAGGAGCACATTGAAGTTAAACCAACAAAGATTATCAAAAAGAAAGTCATTAAGAAGATCGTCAAAAAGCCGGTAACCGAAGAGAAGGTTGAAATTCGACAAGAAATTGATGAGCAAAAAATTCTCGAAATAGAGAAGACTCGTAAGTCTGGAATGTTTCATAACTAACGTTGATGCCTGGAAAGCAAACGAGATTAACATGAGCTTTTCGTTCCGTGATAATTTTTCCGTCGATAATTGTAGGCGAGTTCTAATGCGTTTTTGCGTAATTCGTGTTGTTTTACTGACCAACATTGCTGTTTCAAGTAGAAAGACTTGTAAAGTAAATACCATCTTACAAACAATTCGTGGCGAATGGACTTATGACTTCTCTAACTTCTAATGTAAAATTGACGATTGACGAATCTTTTACGCAGTCTTGCCTAATCTCTTTTGACACGGTCGTCAGTTTGAAGAATTTTTCGACATAGCTAACATCACTGTTTTCTGATCGGACCTTCTGTTTTCAACATCGTCCATGAAATTAACATTTTCAACTATTTTTTTATTTTTCCGGGAGCGGTGAGTACCCTCTAGCATTTTTACTGTCTCCTTGGTCGTGTTTTATTTTGTTTTGTGCTCCAAGAAATTATCAGCGTGGTTGCATGCATTAAAACTTGAACATGATGAATACTTTCTTGGTTGTTGGCAGCTTTCGAGTTATTTCCGTTCCAGGCTTAGTTGTTCAATTTTTCCTTTGAACTTTTTTAGGTGATCCAATATTTCAGAATTCTGCGTTTAATATCTCAACACATTGCTTGTTAGGCACAAGATCGCTATTACCCTGAATTGAGCTTAAGTCGTCGGTTGAAAAAGAAGTGAAATATGATACGTACGTATCATATACGTACGTATCATATACGTATTCTCACATGCTTGCATTATTCCACTATCGGCGTTTAGTTGTCCGAAGCTTTACTTCACTTCACTATTCAAAACACTAATCATATATAAAATATTTGTCTGCCCATTTTTGTATCTATTTATTTTCGTGGATCTACCATACAGAATACACACACGAACAGGAAGAAATAGAAGAAGCACTTCCCGAGGAACTTCCAGACGATTTACCGGACACCTACGAAATAGGTAACATTATCATACATTAACATACCAATTTTGATCACCTACAGAGCCTAATAGAACTTATTTCCTGGGTACCCAACATAATGTTGCTACTTACATTAGCACGTGGTCATTTTTATGGTGAAATTTAGAGTATTTTTTCATTTACAAATCATGACATACAGATTTTATAACAGCGCCTACGAAGGCTGTCACTGCTGAAACCTCCTTCGAACCAGAACTGTCAACGCCACAAACTGATGAAATTCCAATTGCAACAGGTAACACCATAACAAGAAACTATTTTCTCAAATTATTAATTTCAATAACAATTAGAATCATTATTATCACATATGGTAGCAATATTAAATTCATTTTTTCATGTAATCAGCTGCATAATTTCAGTATTCCAGAATGAACCTCTAACATTCCTTTCAAACGGATCAAAATCTATTGAATAAAATCACATTTTTTTCAAGTTACACTGCCAAAACTAATAATACAATTATAAAATTCCAATATTCCGTCCAATAATCCTCATATATTGCTGAATTTGGGTGCATTAAATTTAATTCCACCTGTGAAATTAGCGCCCGAGCCACAGGCCTCAATACACAAGGTCAAGAAAATCATCAAAAAGAAGAAACCAGAGAAGCTTGTCGTCGAAATTCATGAAGGTACTCTATTTCTCTTTTTTCATACATATCTGGCTATATAACAATTTTACTGGTAATTACTGCGGCTAATCACTCATATTTTACATCGTTAATCAACTCCAAACCAACAACTTATTGCGAAGAAATTACGGCAACAATACTGAATTTCTTGTTCACAAATATTATTGGTTTCACATTCAATACAATTATTACTAAACAATTTACATCGATATGAACCTATGACTGATCTCTTAGCAGTTGAGTTACAATGACGCACTACTTACTTAATATTTTTTACTTCGTTTACAAAAGGTGAGCTTTTTTGAAAATTGTCATATGATTATATTTACTAATTGTTTAATTACAATTACGGACTATTGACTATCAACAGATCTTACAGAAACTGTTTAACTCTCCATCCTTATTAATAATTTACTAATACATCTGTTTTTCACAACATTTTTATTAATCCGTAAAAATCTTCAAGTTAACTAACTTACTTACACTTTTTATTTCTAACGTGGATCTGATTTTCCAAAGATTATTTATTTACTTACGAGCTGTTATCTCTTTTACATTGGTAGCAATACATTTCATGACATTTGAATTGAATAATATTTGAACAAATATGAGAATAAATTTTCATTGTGTTTATCGTCATTAAATGTAGTATATAGATGAAAAATTTTTGAACCGGTTTAAAATGATTGGCGCCCTTATTCAATACTAAGAAGGAGAACTAATTTGAGAGATAATTTCTTATAGAAGACGCGAGAAATTGGACATATCCGTGCCTGATAAATAAATCGATTCTTTATAAATCGTTGTACGTACATCCAGTTAGCGACATACAAATTGCTATGGTGATAGCTATTCATTGTTTAAAACTTGTATTTACACAAATTGTTGCATCCTTTTGTTAAATGGGAAGATCCGAACGTAATTTCTTCTCTCATTCAACTAATGGAAGTGAATAGTATTCTGTTATCCTCTACAACCACATAATCAATACTTGTGAACCTGCTGAACACGACAATTGGGCTCTCCAGAGTTCACAGTCGAGGAGGTTGTGTCTGCTGCACCCGAAGCTTTACCTGAAGCTTTACCCGAAGCTTTACCTGAAGCTTTACCTGAAGCTTTGCCTGAAGCTTTACCGGAAGCTTTACCTGAAGCTTTACCGGAAGCTTTGCCTGAAGCTTTAACAGAAGATCTGCCCGAGGTTCTCCCTGAAGTTCTTCCCGTAGTACGTGAATCTTTGCCTGAGCAACTGCCCGAAGAGCTGCCTGAAGTTCTGCCTGAAGTTCTACCAATAGGTACAGTTCTATTCAATCTAAAAAAATTTTCAAAAAATTTAACCCTTGATGAAACTTAACCCACACTTTATTCTGTTCTATTTTGACTTTTGCCTCATGACACAATCTTGTGTCGATCTCAGGCAATGTTTTGTTTCACTCGTGTTCTAATTCTATAACGTCCATCATTCCTCCCTTTGTATATTAATTTGCTAGTGATTTCTGCGCATGCTACAGATCTGTTCATTTGAGAACTTTTAGAGAATTGTCACCACCATTTCATACTGGTTTATTCGGCGGGTGTTTTGCTGCATCTCCTTCAGCGCCCAAAATTGTGGCGGGAACAAATCTGCGGCAGCTTCATATTTAAAGCGCATTTACATCTTTGCTCCCAATATGATAATCTAGAATTCCACCTCGGCTATCAATTAAAATGTCAGCCGTCGACCTTCAACAAATGAGCAGAAATATTACATCTGCACAAGCCGTGTGGTGCCATATGTTGAAACGTTAACTCACTTCACGCACAAAAACGTTTATCATGCGATGCAGTTTTTCGTAGTATAGCAGCACATTGCAACGTTAATTTTTCTTTAAAAACTTGAAAACCCCATAATGGAAACCTCGCATTCGAATTGACTGTGCATTCAGTGTGTTTCAAGTGCGGATTAGGATGAGAGCCACAAAAAATTTTTCAATGCTCACGCAATCGGAATGCTAACTTTCTCGCAAAAATTCAATCGCTGTATGAATAAAATCATGAATCCGAATATCGTCCCATCGTAATGTAGAATAAACCAGTAGTACTGGCTGCCAGTTATACAACATTATTTTTATTTTACAGAACCAGAAGAAGAGACTTACTTTGACACAGTTGAGGACATAATTCAAACAGACAAAATCCTCGACGATCAAACCACAATTATTCATAAAGGTATTATTTATTGTAGTTGAATTTTCTTATGTGCTATCTAATTTATTTTGTGTGTGCTGAAATTTACAAGTTCTACTATTTGCGGTTTTCAGAAGACAAATAGTTCAATTACCTTCGCATCATTCCCACTTACTATTTTTTTATCTGTGATATTCTCAGACATAAAAACTAGTGCGTTGTGTTGTCATATCGGACCAAGAACTTCATGTGGAACACATACCCGGCAAATACAGTCGATCGCTCATTTGGTTCATTTTTATTTCTTAATTCGGAATTTTAGTACCAAAGAAATGAAAATGAAACTTGAATACGCCCTCCAAATTCTCAATGCAAGTTTCAAAATCACGCCGAAAGGCTTTTCTAGCTTGTTTTGAGTTTGCGATTCGTAAATCAACAAATAAGCGCGCTATAAATGCACTACATCCATTATTCGGAATGGTACTTTCTTGCAGCACCCGAGGAGCAAGTGGTTACACAACACAGGACAGAAACAGTTGACACGGAAGTGGTTCTAACACAAGGTACTTACGCTACTCGGGAAATACAAGTACTAGAATCGATAAGCCGGATGCTGGGAATAAAAGCATATATTTCTTTAATACTTCCGTCTTTTAATTTGAAAATTTATTTTTCTCAATATCACGTTTCAACGCTGATACATAACACAAATATTTCCTTAAACTTGTCGGAATGACAATGTAAATATCGAGTCATTAATGCATATCGAACCTCAAAAATGTTTAGCAGTTTGAATTTTGGATAATTTCGAACTTCTTTGTCAATCTTGTTTTTTTTTTGTTATCTGAATAATATCTTATCCAGATTCTGACTGATATCTTGTCTCGGTATTCTGATAATGATGAAAATAAACTTCATCAGTTCTTTACGTTTCCTATTGAAATAAATTAGCAAGGAAATGACAATATTTTCTTAATGTACAATAAAATTTAAAATCTTGCAGCTCCAGTCAAAACTCGCACTGTTAAAACTGTGAAGAAAGTGATAAGAAAGAAGAAGCGAGTCGATGGTGAATCTACTGAAGTGTCTGAAGGTATTTGACGTCACTTTTCTACCGCTTTGCACCCGCAGGTTTCCTATTTTTTTATCTAAATAATATTCGCACTGGCTGTATTTATAATCTTTGCACTACTGCTCTTTCTGGTGGCTTTACGGCGTATGTATAATTAATACGAATGCAATCACCAGCATAACATCGCTTAGCTTAATGCGCATTTTTGCTTATGCCTGATGTCTGAATATACCATATGATTGAGAATTATTTTCTGAAGCTCCGCTTGCGGTTTACATTTTTCTCCGATCATTATTTAATTGATATTTAGGCTTCTACGTATGTGTCCAGCTCGATTTTATTTCGTGCCCAATCTATGATAAGCTATGCCTCTGCTTTCGCTCTCCGTCCCTTGCTTTGGATGAAAGTTGACATTGCAGGTACCGCGTGCCACTGTCCAACTTACATTCATCTCTCTATATATATTTTTTATGAACGAAAATTTTGCTTATCTCGTTCGAGGTATTCGCTAACAATATTATTACCATTCCAGCGCTTAACACCTTAAAGATTAACGCTTGATTTGAGGTTTTCTCCTTCGAAATAACTTTGCTTACAGCGAATTTCGCTCGCGTTTTTTGGCTCTGAACGGAAGTCAACGTTTGAAGTGATGAAAATTTAGAATAGCATGAGTACGAGTATACTTGTCATCCAACCTTTTACAACATTTCGGTTTGTTGATGGCTTGCAACTCCTGCACAAGTTCGCGAATAATCTTTGTAGAATAATGCCAGTCATTCAATAATAAACACGATTTTTGGGAAACAAAATTATGTTGAACGTTTAACATTTTCTGTGGCATCGTTTTATGACCTTGCAGGGCTTAATATTAGTGTTCTGCCTCTCTGCTTTATTCTAAAATGCTTGAGCGGTACTCTGCAGCTGCGTTTCTCTGCTGCTTCTGTTACATTTTTTAGCCTCCGATCTTCTACCTACATCTTTTTGACCGTTCCTTGTTCGTGACCTTAAATTTAAGTGCGATCAATTTTTTTCAATGCTATTTTAAACGAAATTAACAACAACATTTTAATTTTTGTTGCAATGATAGTCGTTATTCATATATATTATTGCTGTTACAAAAACACTATACCCTCCAGTTTTGACGAATTTTTTTGTTAAGGGTTATTTTCACTCACGTCACCGTTTGGTTCAACAGAACACTTACCTGAAGCTCATGAAGTCGCCGAAATACCTGACAGTTTGCCAGAGGAACTACCAGAACCAACACCAGGTAGCTTATGATTATGTTTACTTTATAAACAACTTTGCATTCACATTATTATACCGCTCACTTGACAGTAAATTTTATATACATACCATCAAGCTGATGGTTTGCATTATTTAAAAATATTATAGTTAATTTCAATCTTATCTCATTTACATTCCTAATTCAGTAATGTTCAACACTTCATCAGTTATACTTTATTCAATAGAACACTAAAATTTGTACTCTAAAATATTTTTCGCACTCTCTTGCATGTTGTGTAGGTTATAAACGGAATTGAGAATTCATCTGAACATCCGAAATTCTCGTAATACAGCAACAATTTTGACGCCCTGAGGGAGGTGATGTCAATAATATAAGCGCTTGTCGAAATTCGGGGGGACGAACTGAAATTCATTTCAGTATTCAGATATGAATGTCACTTTTAAGGCTTATTAAGAATCTCAACTCCAAACGCATCATACAGAAATTTTTTAAAATGCTGCAGATATTTTTTTGGGAGGGGGGGGGGGTTCACGGGTTAAATTTCTTCTCCGAATTTACTCTAATTTCGCATATAAATTTCCATTAATGGCAAAGTTGTTCCGATTTTAAAGGGATCAATAAATCATTTCGGTCGTTTTGGCATGATTCATTCTACCAAGTTCATTTTAATGCACATTTATTTAGACATTTGAACATTCATTACGATTTCACTTCACAATCTGAGTTGAATTCATATAAGTAGTGAGAGTTTTATTACTTTAGATCCGAGCATTAGGTCTTTCTTTGTTCTTACACGATAATAGATTTAATTTTTTTCAATTGACGACCACTTTTTTGGGCTTGTATAGAAACGCATCGTATATAACATGAATTTAGGCATCTTTTGTTTAGTAGGTCGGTACTTATCAAATCAATCATTTACATTTGATAATTTAACTTTACAATGACTACAATTTCTGTCAACGATTCCTGCCATTCCAAATACCACGTATCAAGAGCTATTGCAAGAGCTATGTTTTCGTATTATAATCGTGCACTCATCGCTTTGCCCTATTTCCAGAAATGATAGGTAAATTAATATCATGATAGATTTTTCACCCCAAAAATTCCCTAAGATACATTTTCACTAATTTAGCGAACCACGCTGAAACATAAATGTTTGCCCAGCCCCACAATGAGGAGCGAATCTTACAGAATTCTATGTACAATCTACTCCAATACAATCATGATTGGTCACAGATACCTACAACACTCTACTTGTCACCGCAGAACCTGCCACTCAACAAGAGAAAGTCATGGCTATTCCTGAGCGTCTGCAAGAGGAAATTGTTGTACCAATACAGACGGGTAATTTTTTAGCTGATATTACAAACTTGAATCAATAGTCATGAAACATAATTACATTGTCAATAATAACAGAGTACGATATAAGGTATGCTTTTTGTACAAATTGCATTCAGTTATTTGTTTAATGAATTTACATTTTTTATACACAGTTCAAAATCGTTTCCTTCTTTATGACACGAAATTAATTTTTCTTCAGCTCCATACGAACTTTCCACTGCCGAATTCAGAGAAGAAGCCGTGTTCGAGACACAACACACTCAAGTCGTACATATTGAAACAGGTAAATACTGAACGAAACATATGCACTATTTCCGACTTGAGTATCTTTGAACACATCACATATAAGTAAAAAATTCATGAACGAAAAAACATAATTCAACATTTTTTAACCGATTTTGTGCTTATTTAGCAATATTTTTAATTCAAAACAATTAGCTAAAGACAATGTATTATTTATCTTTGTATAGCGCCGCAACAAAAGACAAAGCAAAAGGTTCTGAAGAAAAAGAAAGAAATTGAAGTTCGAATTGCCGAAGTCAGAGAAGGTAATATGTTACTCATGTTTTTGATTATGCGCTTCCTTCTCTGTTTTCATACGCGATAACTCACATCATGCCAAAACCTTAACACTTATGCTCTCCTTAATATTAACATGTTACGATAACCTCGTTCTTGAATTTAAGTATCGCAAGCCTTCCATTCCCCTTAAATTTCGGTTAATTTTGCTGGATATAACTATTTATAATTCGATTATATGGATTTTAAATATTTTACTACAAATTGGAGACTACATTCACAATTATGATTAGCGAACAGGAGGTGAGTTGGTGATGCATTCATCGATCTATCTAAATTTAGCAAATTCTGTTAAGATTCTTTTGTTTTCAACTGTTCGCACGGTATTTAATTTTACATATATTTCGAATTTTTGAAACCATTATTTAATGTTACTACCTTATGCTGTCATCGTGCTTGGTTAATCAACAGATCAGAAAATTTTAACACGAGATTTTTTTTACTAGTAGGCAAATTTTTGCCTTCTCGAACATGTATAATATCTATTGAAGCCTTAGTTGTCTTTATTAGTAACGCTGCATTTGATAATCACTTTTTAGAACTGGCACATGAGGGATTTTTATATTTTATTATATATTTTTATATTTTAGTTTTATATTTTTTTCTCGTGAACTGTTTCTGACTGTCAACTCACTGACAACGCCCTCACTCAGCTCCAACTGAAACGCTAACAACAGAACTTCAGGAAGACGAGGAGCTGAAATTCTTCGACACACAGGAAACACAAATAATTACAGGTAATCAAGTAGTACGTGTTCTGTCTGAACAAAACAATTCACATAAATATACAACCAGCTTCAACGCATCAGACAAAGAATACAATTCAGATTTGTCAGGGCTCTCCAGCATTTATGTCAATTAACATATTAATTTTTTTCATCCAAGTCTGATATGCCAACATTATTTCGCATTCCAGAACCTGCACCTATCCCAGAACCAGTCACTGTCGCTCCAGAACCAGTCACAGCCATCCCAGAACCAGTAACTGCCATGCCAGAACCAGTAACTGCCATGCCAAAACCAGTCACTGTCATGCCAGAACCAGTAACTGCCATGCCAGAACCAGTCACTGTCGCTCCAGAACCAGTCACTGTCGCTCCAGAACCAGTCACTGTCGTTCCAGAACCAGTCACTGTCGCTCCAGAACCAGTCACTGTCACTACAGAACCAGTCACTGTCGCTCCAGAACCAGTCATTGTCGCTCCAGAACCAGTCACTGTCGCTCCAGAACCAGTCACTGTTGCTCCAGAACCAGTCACTGCCATCCTAGAGACGCTTCCTGAAGAAGTCGTTCGGCCAACAGAAATAGGTACTTGTGTTCGAAGCAAAATAACTAACTTATAGGCTATAATGATCTCCAATGACACTGGTTAGTATCAATCGTATTCACAAATGGTGTCCACCGACTCGAAAAATCGCGATTTTTTATCTATGCACATTTTCGCTCCAAAATATCTTACATACTACCTCTACAAAAAGCTGAAAATTTTCGGTTCAATGGTTGACATCATGAGATAATTAAATCTTTGATTTCGGTGGAGGACATTTTATTGCAGCGTTCGTTTGTCCTACTGTCCCCGATGACAATCGAAATCCACCATAGGACCTAACAAATTGATCTAAACTAATGAAATTTCTGACTCTCTGAAATACTTTTTACGTGAGTCATTCGTGGCCAACGATCGATGACATACATAATGTTTTTTCTACATCAAGTTAGGTGCCAGGGTGGTACTTCCAATAACTTGGAAAGCAACTCTCATATTCGACACTTACTTTCAACATTTTTCTACAGCTCCAGTAGAGCCTTTCACTGCCGAGGTTCATGAGGAACCCTTGTTGGTGACACATCGCACTGAAGTCATACACATCGACACAGGTAATGAGGAATGCATGCCACAATAATTCTGCCTTAAATATTTAACATTAGCTTTCATGACATACATTTTACATCGAAGTTAATTGAAGCAAATTCGCTTAAATGGGAGGAGAAATTTTGTACTGTACCTCTTGTTATCGCGACGATGAGACATTATTTCCTTTTAGCTCCTGTTCAAGAAACTGTTAAGACTGTGAAGAAAATCATCAAGAAAAAGATACGAACTGAAGTAAAAGTCACCGAAGGCAGAGAAGGTACTTTTGTATGACTAAAATAAATGCCTTGATGCATGATTCAGACCTATGTAACCATTCAAACCCCTTAACGGCCCAGCCAAATATGTGGTCTTTTAACAAGCTCAAGAGTTTATGATTATTTTTCTGCTTCTCCTCGGCAGATAGATTTTAAAGATCAATTGTTACATCTGTTCATTAATTGTCTTGGTATTTCAACCATAAACATTTCTCTTGCCAACAGTCCTGATTCCAATAGTACCATCTTCAAACGTTGCCGATACAGAACAATTGGCCAACACAATGGAATAATATAAGAGGCTGAAAGACATCAAATAAAATCTATCGTTCGATTCTATTCTGATTAAAAAATTAATCACTTGCATATATCTATACATTTCATGAATTTACTTCTACTGAACTGGGCAACTCCCGTCTTTCTCGCACCCGAAATAGTTTCTGTGCTCGTATGGAATATTTTTTTCCCTAATTTGTTGCGTTTGTTTCTTACTTTTCCCATCCCACTTAATTGCAGTTGAATTGCAATCACTCTTTAATTGTTTTAATATTTATTCACGTGCATAAGAGCGTGATTTGTTTCAAACTACCAAAATTTTCTAACACATATTCAAGAGGTTATCACCAAAATTTCAAGCTTTTTAATTGTCTTACAGAGCTCAATGGACCGAAACATGTAGATTTATCTATTTATTATTATTATTATTCATGCCAAAATTTGATGACACCTTTATTTCACGTCGCAGCTTCCGCAACAGCCACACAACCAGTTATTCCAGAAGATACTCAACAGGGAACAGTAGAAGGTACAAAATATTATTTATAATTCTAAATTCATGCCATGCATTCAGAAATTCTACTATATACAACACCTCTTTGTCTCAGAAATCAGGCAATCTGTAGTAATCTATATCAGGACTATGAATGTTAACTTTGAGTAAAGATGAAATATAATACACATGAAATATATTATAGGATGCGCTGAATTTGAATAACTCATTTCAAACTCCTCTCTTCAGCTCCAATACAACCTATCATTGCTGAAACACTGGACGAAACAATCAAAGACACGCACTTCACTGAAATTGTGGCGGTCAAGTCAGGTAAAACAAAGCAAATCTCAAATAGGCTACAATAAATATTAATTAACAACCTTTTTTCGCTATAAATGTCTGAAACTACGCCTAGACATAACAATAAGCCGTTTTAGTTCCTTCAATGATTATTGCGAGAGTTAAGAGAGTTTTTACCACTTGAATCGTGGCACAAAATTTAAAAAGTTTTTGTAAATTATTAATTCACGTTCACATGCAATAAATCCGGCAGAGCCAGCAAGAGCGCACCAAACAAATAACCTCAAAACGCTTGAAAAATTGTTAAAGCTACTCAAAATTAGTGAATTCTCTCATCCAACTGTCTATGCGTACATATAAGCTGAGCTGAATTTTCTAAATATTTGGTTGTACGTGGAAAATTTTAAAGCTTCGTTTGCCAGTCATTCACTTGGTAAATTCTTCATTTTTATTAAATTTATTCGATTGAGATAGTTTATGCCACGATAGGTAAACATGTCCGAGCTACAAAAACTTACTGAGCTACTTCTGATCAGGGCATTGAAAATGTACGAGCGCTTAATGGGTGTTGATAAGTACATGTATCCTTTTTAGTCAGTATAGGATATGGGAAGAAGTAAATTTTTGTTTTGGTAGACTGGCAGCTGTTGAGTTTCTTGTACATGCGATTCGTTTTACAGATGATTTTAGTTAATACTTATCGGTTTCACCTTATCACACCAACTTCACTTATACTAATTACATTGACACATCATATGATAAAAAAGAAATTCAATTTATTTTTTAATTTACGCTAGGTATTTACGTCGATACGATATCGTTATCAATATCATTCTCAAATATTCTCAATAATATATTGTCTATGCAATGCCAAGACCATTTGCTTCATGTAAAGTTTCTTTCAAAATATGCTTTCATTAAGATTAAACTGAGTCACGTTTGGTACCACAGAACCAGTGCCGTTGCCTGAAGAAACTTCCGCTTTATCAGACATCATCCATGAAACTTTGGAACGAGTTGAAACGACAAAACTCGGTAATCCATTCCTAACTTGAAATTCCCTGATTAAAAACATGAATATTCAAAGATGTCCTAATTTTTCGCAAATATTACTGATCTTCATGAGCAAAAACTATATGGCTAACACTCTTATACTCATATTACTATTTCCGTATCACGTCTAGAATTTATTGAACATTACTCGCTAATACAACGCTTTTCTTCAGTTCCCATTGAAGCTACAATAGTCGAGACCCGTGAAGAACCCACCTTGGACACTCACCGTACGGAATTAGTTCAAATAGAAACAGGTAAACACTTTTTTTATACAAAAAATCGTGATACAAAATTAAATACCATCACCTAACACACTGGCGCGACTCAGTTCCACGTTAAACAATGGACAATTCGTACGATTGCTACACAATCTAAACATATCTTAAAATTGAATACAATGATATATCTCTATCCCGATATTTGAAAAATCAACCAAGTTTGGTCGTGTTGATAATTTTTCCCGTATTCGTGTATTTTATATTCTTTTTTTTCTGCTCGTTAAATTTTAATTATTATGACTAATTATTGCCGGAATAATAAACCTCTACTGTAAACCTTCCATTACTCAGCACCAACACAAGAGAGCCTTCAGACTAACAAGAAGATAATTAAGAAAAAGAAACGAACAGAAGTACAAGTCACAAGCACAACTCAAGGTATATATTTGAACGTTGAGCTCTGGACTAATTTCGAATTTCATTACTAAAATGATTTACCTTTCAATTGTCTCTTCTAATTTTATGAAATTCATCTCATTTCCATAAAGGTAAATAATAATTCTAATACGATAATAATTTTGGTTCCACTCTTTGTAATTTCCATTCAATGGTAATATTTTGCAGTTCTAACCTTACCGTTTTTTTATCTTACCTATAAGGCACACAGACTCTCAGATACACTCATAACAGAAAATTTGGCAAAATATGGTGCATTTTTCCAGATTTTATGTTTATTGTGCACAACGCTTGCCGTGAGTTTTATGCATGATTTTTTGCTGCTACGTTGCCTGAGACAACGTCTGTCAATGGCCGCCTTTAACTGTATTTGGTTACAAAACCGTTTTGTGTATAGTAAGCTTTTTCAGCAGAAGAATTACAATGATATACTAAAATGTTAAGTCGACAAGTATTCGTTGATCCTGACCGTGGGTATTTCGTTTCATTATTAAATGACACTGTAACACCAATACATAACATCTTGAATGACATCTATTATTCTCACGGAAACCTTTTGTTTGCACAGAACCTACGCCACAACCTGAACAAGTCACAGCTATTCCAGAGTCCCTGCCGCAGGAAATTACCCAACCCATGGAACTTGGTAATAACCACTTGCAATCTGTACTCGAAATTCTATCACAAACGTTTTCATTAAATTTGAATTTTTATGAAACTTAAATTTGATAGAATGAATAATTAAATTTTTCTTCAGCTCATCCTGAGCCCACAACTGCTGAAACACTAGAAGAACCGTCGCTTGTGACGCACAGCACCAACATCATTCAAATTGACACAAGTAAACGCCATTATACCTGAAACAAAATCCGATCGAATAGTGCACAACGAATTCAATGTAATTTATTCACAAATAGGTGTAAATTTTTAGTTATTTTATTGTTTTTTATTGAAACTGCATAGAATTCAGCTGTTTTATTGCAGTTCAACCAAACACTAAGGAGAGTTACGAACATTGAATCGTGTGCCATAATGATCTTCACAAATTTCAATGCCTATTCTAATTCCATTCACTTTAATTTTTCGTGCAAAACTACTACAATATTCTTTTCATTTTCCCACTGATTCATTATTACGTAACGTGACTGCATTCACATTAAGTACATCTCAGAAATGCAACCTATTTCGCTCAGCCCCAATTACAGAAGAAATACAAATGAGGAAAACCGTTGCTGTTAGAAAAGAGATATGACCCGAAGTTCAAGCATATGAATTTTAAATAGGTATTAATTCTTCTTCCAAACCATTTTAATCACGTTTTATTTCCTCTAGCCATCTTAATGCCATTTTTTATTTCGAGTATTTAATTGATCACAAACGACCCTTGCAGGTTTTACGCACAAAAAATTGCTGGTCTCGACCGATTTCTAGAAATTTTGTCTGTTACTTTTCTTCGCTTCCTTCCACCCATCTTTCTATTTTTGATTGCAAAAGATTGTCCCGATATGACTGACATAAACCAGTTACCCATTTAACCCTGAAAAATATCACCTGAAAATGTTTTCGAAATTAATTTTCCACTTAATTATTAATGCTGCACTGATAACAATGATGAATTAAATGTGCCGGAACATCCAATTTACACAATGTTGTTTTCTGTATTATCCCAAACTACATGTGGGAATTATTTTCTTTTTATGAATCTAAAGAAGTACACAAAGAGTATACATTTATCTTAGAATAGTATTTATAGTAAACGACTTTGAAACTTACTCCACAGAACAAGCACCTGTTCCAGAACATATTTCTACCGTTACTGCTGCGACAGTGGTCACTGAGCCTACAGAAATGGGTAACTCAATATCTACACAAAACATGAATTTTGACTTAATATTTATTGTTTTATTCCACCGTGAATGTCTAATCTAATGTGAATATCAGCAATTAATATATTATGTGATACATTTGTGGTTAACTATACGAATTTACTGACATATCCAAACGAACCCGCCCATGCAGTCCCCATAGAGCCCGCCGTTGCTGAGACCCGAGCGGAACCCGCATTGGAAACACACACAACCGAAATTGTTCAGATTGACACAGGTAAATATGGGTGGCAATCGATCATTATTAATCTACAGTGCTTTACATTTTCGTTGTTATCAAAGTGAAATAATTTCATTATTGATTGGCCATTAATTACATAATACTGTCGTTAAATAACTGACATTTCTTTACCATAACAGCACCAGACCAAGAAACTGTAACAGTTCAGACAACAAAAAAGATAATCAAGAAAAAGAAGAGAGAAATTCAGGTCACGGATATTTCAGAAGGTATCCTGATTTAAATAACAATCGCATTACTGTTCTTACCCTCGTACCAGAGCCCTTCCATCTAACATATTCTACCACCTAACATTATTAAACTGGTAAATCAACTAGTTTTTTTTGGCATATCGGTTCATTCATCATTGATGGAAATGCTACACCATAAGTATTTACTTCTATTGCCGTCGTTATGTATAACCCGGTACCGATTAAGCCAAGAGAGTTATTTTCATTTTCAAAGTTTGATAAGTTCAGGCGGAACATAACGTTTTTTTATTATAATTTTTACTTCAGCTTTTTTCGTTCGGTTTCTGACTGCTTTTAAGGTAAGTAAGTATTTTCCGACAGTTTTCATTGAGAGATTTTAAGTTTTCCAAGTTAATTTAATAATATTTTTTTCCTCCGTTATTGGTATTACCAATAATTTGGCATTCCAGTTCTGCAAAAATTTCATTCAACTACACTGCATGTGTTCAATAACTTGGACATATTATATATTACAAATAACATCTCTGGAGAAACATCTGTTCCAAAAGTGCATGAGATACTGTTAGATTGGTTGAGTCAGCACAAATAGGTAAAACAACTATGAGTCAACAATATTCAAATTATGATAACACAATATCATTACAAATATACCTGATATCTAGACTAATTAACACAATCATTCTAATCCACGCCTAATTGCGGCACTTGTTCCAGCTCCAATTGAACCGCTTATCGCTGAAATCAATGAAGAACATCCTAAGGAGACATCCAGAACTGACATCGTACACGTCACTTCAGGTAAACCAGAGAGTTGAATGCGGCTCAAATTGTACATACCATCAACACCATATTCATCTTTTGCTTAATAATACAATAGCGATGTAATTTGATATGTTTCTGCTTCTAAATTTCAAGAGATTTTCTTGTTGATAGTATCACGTATAATTGATGACAGAATCGTTTTATTGCAAAGGTTTTATATTTTTTATATCTCACTCCAAAATCATGAAAACATCATAACCGTGTTTCTCAAAAGAGAATCAATTCGTAAACCGATGTATTCTTGTCTGCCCCTCACGAATATTCCTCATAATTTCACGATCTCCACAGCTCCTACTGAACTAACAGTAATCGAAGTTCATGAGGAAAAGCCATCTCTATTCACACAGCACACCGAAATTGTTGACATAGATACAGGTAACACAAAAACCCAGTTCCAAAAATTCTATCGATTTCATATCATATGTACAACCTAGAAGAATCGACCAAAAAATTTTGAGTTAACTTGCATCAAATTCAGAGAGCCTTCAAATTTAACTACTAATCATGTTATGCTTATTTATGTGAAAATTGCGATAACATTAGTGCATGACACATGCTTTCTGCATCTCATAAGTCGACCTCGACCGAAGCCCATTTTATGTAAATACTCTTTACCCTATGACACGTAATGCACTTACGTCATTCTTTGCAATAGGATATCTATTGGGACACTGGAAATTGAATACATGTGTGGAAAAAAATAAAAAATGGATTGTTAAGTGAATAGGGTTAATTACTTGTACATGGTTATGAAGTAATCAATGTATCATGAAATGGATAGTATCACATATATTTTCTGCTTCACTATATTTCAGCACCTGTGAATGAGGTCCACGTTAAAACCACGAAAAAAGTCATCAAAAAGAAGAAGCGAACAGACATTCAAGAAACGGAAGGTACACTTACTTTTCCATGAATGCTTCACTAAAACACACTTATAAACTTGGTTTCTGCTACCCATGCCGAAAGCAAACTAAAATCAGGCTCGTGAACGTAGCTTTGCTACTTGAGCCAAAAACATTGGAATATGACACTCATGAACTCAATTTGTGCCACTATTGCCAACAGAATAATAATATTACAATCATAAATTCAATTTTATTTTATTAATTTAAAAAGTAAAGTAACATGAGCCCCCCCACTAACTCTGTTCCTGGCACTAATCCTAGAAAAAGATAGCATAACACTCATTGCGAACTCAATTTCTGGTACGACTGCAATAAGTAAACTATAACATTACACTCGTGAACTCAGTTGCTGGGACTAATATTCGAGTCAACGCCTCACTAATATCTTCCTCATTTGATACGATTATTTTACAATTAGTTGAATTTATCGAAAATTATTTAACTTATATATCACTAGAAATGAATAACTTGAGAAACAAAAAATCATTTGAAAAAGTGTGGAATTTCAAGTGCAATGTGTTTTTACATGTTAAAAATGAGCCCTTCCACTTACCAATGGTGACTTTCAACAAACGATACGTTTAAACACTTTCCCAACTGCAAATAGTCATAAGCTTCTTAGCTGACTATGACGATAGTTGGTGCAATCTTTACTTTCTCCCCAAATATCAATTGCTCACGGTGAACAAATTGTCTTTGCAGATGTCGTTTCCATGCCAGAACAAGTCGCCTCTCTGGATGAAACACTGCCGGAGAAACTTGAGACATTCGACATAGGTGAAACTTTTATGTTTTTTCCACCTTGTTATTACAAACGTTAAAATATTGTAATTCTTCACATCTAACTGCAAAACTGGGCCCTTGTTATCACCATGTCTTACAGTAAATAATCTAGATGAAAACATACGTTTATAATTATTCTCAATTTTCAACTTCCTTCACACTCTTTCAGACATTATTCTCATAATTTCACACTCTCCACAGCTCCTGCGGAATCTACAGTTGTCGAAGTTTTTGAAGAAAAACCATCTCTACTCACACATCACACAGAAATTGTTGAAGTAGAAACAGGTAACGCCAAAACCCAGTTCCAAAAACTCAATCGATTGCATACCATAGTTACAGCCTAGTACAATCAATTAGAGTTCTTGAGTCAAGTTGACACCACATCAGAGAGTTTTCACATTTATCTGCTGATTATGTAATACTTATTTATGTTAAAATTGGGATAACATTAGTGGATAATTCACGCATTCAGCATTCAAAAGGTCGACATTGACAGTTGCCCATTTCATGCACATACTCATTGTCCTATGACACGGAATGCACTTTAGTCATTCCTTGCAATATACTGACTATTTGGACACTGGGAATTGAATGTATGTGTGGAGAAAATAATGAATTTATTTCTTATTAAATGGGATGAATTACTTTTACATGGTTCGGAATTAATCAATGTATCATGAAATGGATAGTATCACATTTATTTTCTACTTCACTATATTTCAGCACCTGTGGATAAGGTCCTAGTTAAAACCACGAAAAAAGTCATCAAAAAGAAGAAGCGAACCGACATTCATGAAACGGAAGGTACACTTACCTTTCCATGAATGCTTCACTAAAAACACACTTATAAACTTGGCTTCTGCTACTAAACCCGAAAGCAAATTAAAATCAGGCTCGTGAACTTAGCTTTGCTGCTTGCGCCAAAAACATTGGAATATGACGCTCAGGAACTCAATTTATGTCACTAATGCTACAGAAAAATAACATTTCAATCATAAACTCAATTTATTATACTAATTTAGAAAGTAAAGATACATTAGCCCTCATTAACTCCGTTTCTGGCACTAATACCAAGAAAAAGATAACGTAACACTCCTTAAGAACTCAATTTCTGGTACGACTGCAAGAAGTAAACTAACATTGCACTCGTGAACTCAGTTGCTGGGACTAATACCTGAGTCAACGCCTCACTAATATCTTACTCGTGTGAAACGACTATTATACAATTAGTTGAATTCATTGAAAACTATTTAACTTGTTTATCACTTGTAATGAATAAGGTGTGTCAATTCAAGTACAATGTCTTTTTACATGTTAAAAATGAGCCCTTCCGCTTACCAATGCTGACTTCCAACAAACGATATGTTTAAACACCTCCTCAACTGCATTATGTCATAAGCTTCTTAGCTGTCTGCGATGATAATTGTTGCAAAGTTTGTTTCTCCCCAAAGATCAATTGTTCATTGGGAACAAATTGTTTTTGCAGATATCGTTTCCATACCAGAACAAGTCGCCTCTCTGGATGAAACACTGCCGGAGAATCTTGAGACATTCGAAATAGGTGAAACTTTATGTTTTTTCCACCTTTTTATTACAAATGTGCAAATTATGTTATTCTTTACATCTGACTGCAAAAATGGACACATATTATTATCTTATCTTACAGAAAATAATCTAGATGAAGACAGACATTTTTATTTATTTCCGATGTAGAACTTCTTTCAATATCTTTCAGAAATTATTCACATAATTTTACACTCTCCACAGCTCCTGCAGAATCAACAGTTGTCGAAGTTTTTGAAGAAAAACCATCTCTACTCACAAATCACACAGAAATTGTTGAAGTAGAAACAGGTAACGCCAAAACCCAGTTCGAAAAATTCAATCGATTGCCTAATTTTTTTTACAACCTAGTTGAATTTAGAATTCTCGAGTCAAGTTGTCACATCAGAAATCTTTCACATTTATCTGCTGATTATGTAATACTTTTTTATGTTAAAATTTGGATAACATTAGTGCATAATGCCCGCATTCAGCATTCAAAAGGTCGACATCGACATATGCCCATTTTATGCACATACTCATTATACAATTACACTGAATGCTCTTGAGTCATCCCTTGCAATATGATTTCTATTTGAACACTGGAAATTGAACACATGTGTGGAGAAAATAAAGAATGGATCTGGTATTAAATGGGACGAATAACTTGTACATGGTCCTCCATTAATCAATGTATCATGAAATGAATATTATCACATTTATTTTCTGCTTCACTATATTTCAGCACCTGTGGATGAGGTGCTAGTTAAAACCACGAAAAAAGTCATCAAAAAGAAGAAGCGAACAGACATTCAAGAAACGGAAGGTACACTTACTTTTCCATGAATGCTTCACTATAAACACTGCCGGAGAATCTTGAGACATTCGAAATAGGTGAAACTTATGTTTTTTCAAAACCTTTATATTACAAATGTTAAAATATTATCATTCTTTACATCTGACCGCAAAACTGGGCACATATTATTACCATGTCTTACATAAAATAATCTAGATGACGAGACGTTTTCATTTCTTTTCAGTTTAGAACTTCTTTCACACTCTTTCAGAAATTATTCTCATAAATTCACCTTTTCTACAGCTCCTGCGGAATCAACAGTTGTCGAAGTTTTTGAAGAAAAACCATCTCTACTCACACATCACACAGAAATTGTTGAAGTGGAAACAGGTAACACCAAAACCAGTTCCAAAAATTCAATCGATTGCACACCATATTTACATCCAAGTAGAATCAATTAGAGTTCCCGAGTCAAGTTGCCACCACATCAGGAAGCTTTCACATTTAACTGCCGATTATCACTATCCTATGACACGGAATGCACTTGAGTCATTCCTTGCAATGTGATATCTATTTGAACACTGGAAATTGAATACATGTGTGGAGAAAATAAACAATGGGTTGCTTATTAAATGGGATTAATTACATACTTGTACATGGGTATGAATTAATCAATGTATCATGAAATGAATAGTATCACATTTATTTTCTTCTTGACTATATTTCAGCACCTGTGGATGAGGTCCTAGTTAAAACCACGAAAAAAGTCATCAAAAAGAAGAAGCGAACAGACATTCAAGAAACGGAAGGTACACTTACTTTTCCATGAATGCTTCACTAAAACACACTTATAAACTTGGCTTCTGCTACTCATACCGAAAGCAAACTGTAAAATCAGGCTCGTGAAACAATGCTTGTACCAAAATCCTAAAATCCAAAATTATCCTTTGCTGCTTGTACCAAAAATATTGGAATATGACACTCATCAACTCAACCTATGCCACTAATACCAACAGAAGATCAACATTACAATAATTAACTCGATTTTGTTATACTAATTTAAAAAGTAAAGATACATTAGCCCTCATTAACTCCGTTTCTGGCACTAATACCAACAAAAAGCTAACATAACACTTATTACGAATTCAATTTCTGGTACGACTGCAAGAAGTACACTAACATTGCACTCGTGAACTCAGTTCCTGGGATTAATATCAGAGTCAACGCCTCACTAATATCTTACTCATTTGACAGGATTATTTTACAATTAGTTGAATTAATTGAAAATTATTTAACTTGTTTATCACTAGAAATGAAAAACTTGAGAAGTAGAAGATCATTCGAAAAGGTGTGCCATTTCAAGTGCAAAGTGTTTTTACATGTTAAAATTGAGCCCTTCCACTTACCAATGGTGACTCCCAACAAACGATTCGTTTAAACACCTCCCCAAGATCATATTGTCATAAGCTTCTTAGCTGTCTACGAAGATAGTTGTTGCAAACTTTATTTTCTCCCCAAAGATCAATTGTTCATTGTGGACAAATTGTTTTTGCAGATGTCGTTTCCATACCAGAACAAGTCGCCTCTCTGGATGAAACACTGCCGGAGAATCTTGAGACATTCGAAATAGGTGAAACTTATGTTTTTTCAAAACCTTTATATTACAAATGTTAAAATATTATCATTCTTCACATCTGACCGCAAAACTGGGCACATATTATTACCATGTCTTACATAAAATAATGTAGATGACGAGACGTTTTTATTTCTTTTCAGTTTAGAACTTCTTTCACACTCTTTCCGAAATTATTCTCATAATTTCACACTTTCCACAGCTCCTGCGGAATCGACACGTGTCGAAGTTTTTGAAGAAAAACCATCTCTACTCACACATCACACAGAAATTGTTGAAGTAGAAACAGGTAACACCAAAACCAGTTCCAAAAATTCAATCGACTGCACACCATATTTACAACCTAGTAGAATCAATTAGAGTTCTCGAGTCAAGTTGCCACCACATCAGAAAGCTTTCACATTCAACTGCCGATTATCATTATCCTATGACACGGAATTCACTTGAGTCATTCCTTGCAATATGATTTACATTACAATCATAAACTCAATTTTATTCTAATTTAAAAAGTAAAGATACATTAGCCCTCATTAACTCCGTTTCTGGCACTAATGCCAACAAAAAGCTAACATAACACTTACTACGAACTCAATTTCTGGTACGACTGCAAGAAGTAAACTAACATTACACTCGTGAACTCAGTTCCTGGGATTAATATCAGCGTCAACGCCTCACTAATATCTTACTCATTTGACGCGATTATTTAACAATTAGTTGAATTAATTGAAAATTATTTAACTTGTTTATCACTAGAAATGAAAAACTTGAGAAGTAACAGATCATTCGAAAAGGTGTGCCATTTCAAGTGCAAAGTGTTTTTACATGTTAAAAATGAGCCCTTCCACTTACCAATGGTGACTTCCAACAAATAATACGTTTAAACACCTCCCCAAGATCATATTGTCATAAGATTCTTAGCTGTCTACGAAGATAGTTGTTGCAAACTTTATTTTCTCCCCAAAGATCAATTGTTCATTGTGAACAAATTGTTTTTGCAGATGTCCTTTCCATACCAGGACAAGTCGCCTCTCTGGATGAAACACTGCCGGAGAATCTTGAGACATTCGAAATAGGTGAAACTCTTATGTTTTTTCACCTTTATATTACAAATGTTGAAATATCATAATTCTTTACATCTGACCGCAAAACTGGGCACATATTATTATCATGTCTTACAGAAAATAATCTTGATGACGAGACGTTTTTATTTTTTTTTCAATTTAGATCTTCTTTCACACTCTTTCAGAAATTATTCTCATAATTTCACACTTTCCACAGCTCCTGCGGAATCGACAGTTGTCGAAGTTTTTGAAGAAAAACCATCTCTACTCACACATCACACAGAAATTGTTGAAGTAGAAACAGGTAACACCAAAACCCAGTTCCAAAAATTCAATCGATTGCACACCATATTTACAACCTAGTATATAGAATCAGTTCGAGTTCTCGAGTCAAGTTGCCACCACATCAGAACGCTTTCACATTTAACTGCCGATTATCACTATCCTATGACACGGAATGCACTTGAGCCATTCCTTGCAATATGATATCTATTTGAACACTGAAAATTGAATACATGTGTGGAGTAAATAAACAACGGGTTGCTTATTAAATTGGATGAATTACATGTACATGATTATGAATTAATCAATGTATCATGAAATGGATAGTATCACCATTTATTTTCTTGACTATATTTCAGCACCTGTGGATGAGGTCCTAGTTAAAACCACGAAAAAAGTCATCAAAAAGAAGAAGCGAACAGACATTCAAGAAACGGAAGGTACACTTACTTTTCCATGAATGCTTCACTAAAACACACTTATAAACTTGGCTTCTGCTACTCATACCGAAAGCAAACTGTAAAATCAGGCTCCTGAACTTAGCTTTGCTGCTTGTGCCAAAAACATTGGAATATGACACTCATGAACTCAACTTATGTCACTAATACCAGCAGAAGAATTACATTACAATCATAAACTCAATTTTATTCTACTAATTTAAAAAGTAAAGATACATTAGCCCTCATTAACTCCGCCTGGCACTAATGCCAACAAAAAGCTTGCATAACACTTATTACGAACTCAATTTCTGGTACGACTGCAAGAAGTAAACTAACATTACACTCGTGAACTCAGTTCCTGGGATTAATATCAGAGTCAACGCCTCACTAATATCTTACTCATTTGACAGGATTATTTTACAATTAGTTGAATTAATTGAAAATTATTTAACTTGTTTATCACTAGAAATGAAAAACTTGAGAAGTAAAAGATCATTCGAAAAGGAGTGCCATTTCAAGTGCAAAGTGTTTTTACATGTTAAAAATGAGCCCTTCCACTTAAAAATGGTGACTTCCAACACGATACGTTTAAACACCTCCCCAAGATCATATTGTCATAAGCTTCTTAGCTGTCTACGAAGATAGTTGTTGCAAACTTTATTTTCTCCCCAAAGATCAATTGTTCATTGTGAACAAATTGTTTTTGCAGATGTCCTTTCCATACCAGGACAAGTCGCCTCTCTGGATGAAACACTGCCGGAGAATCTTGAGACATTCGAAATAGGTGAAACTCTTATGTTTTTTCACCTTTATATTACAAATGTTGAAATATCATAATTCTTTACATCTGACCGCAAAACTGGGCACATATTATTATCATGTCTTACAGAAAATAATCTTGATGACGAGACGTTTTTATTTTTTTTTCAATTTAGATCTTCTTTCACACTCTTTCAGAAATAATTCTCATCATTTCACACTTTCCACAGCTCCTGCGGAATCGACAGTTGTCGAAGTTTTTGAAGAAAAACCATCTCTACTCACACATCACACAGAAATTGTTGAAGTAGAAACAGGTAACACCAAAACCCAGTTCCAAAAATTCAATCGATTGCACACCATATTTACAACCTAGTAGATAGAATCAGTTCGAGTTCTCGAGTCAAGTTGCCACCACATCAGAAAGCTTTCACATTTAACTGCCGATTATCATTATCCTATGACACGGAATTCACTTGAGTCATTCCTTGCAATATGATATCTATTTGAACACTGGAAATTGAATACATGTGTGGAGAAAATAAACAATGGGTTGCTTATTAAATGGGATGAATTACATACTTGTACATGGTTATGAATTAATCAATGTATCATGAAATGGATAGTATCACATTTATTTTCTTGACTATATTTCAGCACCTGTGGATGAGGTCCTAGTTAAAACCACGAAAAAAGTCATCAAAAAGAAGAAGCGAACAGACATTCAAGAAACGGAAGGTACACTTACTTTTCCAAGAATGCTTCACTAAAACACACTTATAAACTTGGCTTCTGCTACTCATACCGAAAGCAAACTAAAATCAGGCTCGTGAACTTAGCTTTGCTGCTTGTGCCAAAAACAGTGTAATATGACACTCATGAACTCAATTTGTCACTAATACCAACAGAAATAACATTACAGTCTTAAACTCAATTTTATTTTACTAATTTGAAAAGTAAAGTAACACCAGCCCTCTTTATTTCCGTTTCTGGCACCAATACTAACAAAAAATGAAATAACACTCTTAACAAACTTAATTTCTGGTGCGACTGCAAGAAGTAAAATAATATTACACTCGTGAACTCAGTTTCTGGTACTAATATCAGAGTCAACGCCTCACTAATATCTTACTGCATTGACACGTTGACACGATCATATTACAAGTAATTGTTGAACTCGGTGAAAATTATTAATTTTTTTTTCTCATTAGAAATGAATAAGCTTGGTATAAAAAAATCAAATGAAAAGGTGTGCCATTTCAAGTACAATATGTTTTTAAAGATAAAATGAGCCTTTCCACTTGACCAAAGATTACAGATCACTCCCAACAAACGATACTTTTAAACACCTCCCTAATTGCATATTGTCATAAGCTTTTTGGCTGTCTACGACGATAGTTATTGCAAACTTCAATTTCAACGCAAAGATCAATTGTTTATTGTGAAATAATTGTTTTTGCAGATGTCGTTTCCATACCAGAACAAGTCACCTCTCTGGATGAAACACTGCCGGAGAATCTTGAGACACTCGAAATAGGTGAAACTTGGATGTTTTATCCATCGTTTTATTACAAATGTTAAAATATTATAATTCTTTACATCTGACTGCAAAATTAGGCACATATTACCATCTCGTTCAAAAAATAATCTAGATGAAGACAAACGTTATTTTTAGTTTCAATTTTGAACTNATGGGATGAATTACATACTTGTACATGGTTATGAATTAATCAATGTATCATGAAATGGATAGCATCACATTTATTTTCTTGACTATATTTCAGCACCTGTGGATGAGGTCCTAGTTAAAACCACGAAAAAAGTCATCAAAAAGAAGAAGCGAACAGACATTCAAGAAACGGAAGGTACACTTACTTTTCCATGAATGCTTCACTAAAAACACACTTATAAACTTTGCTTCTGCTACTCATGCCGAAAGCAAACTGAAATCAGGCTCGTGAACTTAGCTATGCTACTTGAGCCAATATCACTGGAATATGACACTCATGAACTCAATTTGTCACTAATGCCAAAGAAATAACATCATAGTCAAAAACTCAATTTTATATTACTAAATTAAAAATTGAAGTAACACTAGCCCTCATTAATTCCGTTTCTGGCACTTATACTAACAAAAAGATAACATAAAACTCATAACGAACTCAATTTCTGGTACGACTGCAAGAAGTAAACTAACATTACACTCATGAACTCAATTTGTCACTAAAGCCAACAGAAATAGAATTACAGGAATAAACTTTAATTTTATTTTACTAATTTAAAAAGTGAAGTAACACTAGCCCTCATTATTTTCGTTTCTGGCACTAATACTAGCAAAAAGATAACATAAACACTCATAACGAACTCAATATGTGGTACGACTGCAAGAAGTAAATTAACATTACACTCGTGAACTTAGTTTATGTTACTAATATCAGAGTCAAAGCCTAACTAATATCTTACTGCTCTGACACGATCTTTTTACAAATAGTTGTTAAACTCAGTGAAAATTATTTAATTTCTTTGTCATTAGAAATGAATAACCTAGGTTAAAAAAACAAGTAAAAATGTCTGCCATTTCAAGTGCAATGTGTTTTTAAAGTTGAAAACGCTCCCTCCCACTTGACCAACGATTACTCACAACAAACGATACTTTTAAACACCTCCCCAACTGCCTATTGTCATGTGATTTTCGGCTGTCTACGACAATAGTTGTTGCAATCTTCATTTTCACCCCAAAGATAAATTGTTCATTGTGAACAAATTGTTTTTTGCAGATGTCGTTTCCATACCAGAACACGTCACTTCTCTGGATGAAACACTGCCGGAGAACCTTGAGACATTCGGAATAGGTGAAACTCGGATGTTTTATCCATCATTTTATTACAAATGTTAAAATATTATAATTTTTACATCTGACTGCAAAATTAGGCACATACTATCATCTAATTACAAAAGTAAACTAGATGAAGACAGACGTTATTTTTAGTTTCAATTTTAAACTTCTTTCACACTTTTTCAGACATTATTCTCATAAATTTACATTCCTCACAGCTCCTGCAGTATCAACAGTTGTCGAAGTTTTTGAAGAAAAACCATCTCTACTCAAACATCACACAGAAATTGTGGAAGTAGAAACAGGTAACACCAAAACCAGTTCCTGAAATTCAATCGATTGTAAACCATATCTTTGCAATATAATATCTAATGAGGTACAAGAAATTGAATACGTGTTGGGAAAACATCAATAACGGATTGCTAATTAAATGGGATGAATGACTTGTGCTTTCCTATTAATTAATCAATGTATCGTGAAATGGATACTATCACATTTGTTTTCCATTAAACTAAATTTCAGCACCTGTGGATGAGGTCCTAGTTAAAACCACGAAAAAAGTCATCAAAAAGAAGAAGCGAACAGACATTGAGGAAACTGAAGGTACACTCACGCTTCTTTGAATACTTCACTAACAATAAATTAATCAAATGAATCCCTGTAATGGTGGCACATGTGATCTTTTTATCCCATACACCACTATTTTAGGCCCCGCATAAGATGTTCAAATTCCATTCCAAATAAAGTTATCGAGAAAAAGGAAAAAATCCAATTGCAAATTGTCAATTGATAATCCAATTGTCAAAAAATTATCAAGGTAAATTATTAGTTTTTCAAAAAAATTTGCCGACTGCCTGCAAATTGTTCATACGTGTCTAATGTTTTAACACTATATGTTTGGTACATCTAATAAGCGCATAAATACACTTTTTAGGACACGCGACACTTTGAATAATTTTAATCACATTCGTTCACCAAAACTGCTCATTTCAAGTAACAGCAGAAATTCATTTTCTCAACACTTTTTACTTGCTCGATATTGATTGGAACCAGCTTCAATTTTTCTTGAAGCCAGTCATTCATACATTTTTTAAACCAGCTTCAGTCCAAGAAACACACAAACAAACGTCAATCATAATTAACTCCATTTTCCTTACTTGAGAAGAAACAATTAAGACATCCTTTTGAGTAACTTGGCTTTTAATTGTTACTTAATTGTCTATGATAGGCAGTATGATTATGATTCTCTTATCAGAGAGCCTATTTACTACAACAAGTTTACTCATATCGGCATAGAGACCCCAACAATATATATTGTAATATCTTCAGAGGCCCCTAAACAATTCTTCTCTAGTGACTTCAATAATAAAGACGGAAACTAAAGTCGGAGACTAGTAGGAAACTTATATAATTTTAGTAGACGTTTGCACATTTTTTGAACTCTCAGTTTTTCCAATGCTTAAGCTAATATCTCTTAAAGGCACACTGAATAAGCAAACCTTGATTTGAAAATTGCACGCTCTTTTGTGGTCGAATTTGCAATCGTTTCCCTTCATTGCAATTGTTTTTCTGCGCATAATTACGACGGTTTATCGATGTTTTGCAACACTTCACTTCTTTATCATCAATAAACCCGCTTTATTTTCTTATCTTCTTCACCCATGTTTCTATTTCCACCTGTTCTACTTGAGATATTGTATACGGGCAATAGAAGTTATGTTTTATCTTTGAGGGATAGACGACTATTTTATGTTTTAATTTTCCAGTTAAATTTGTGTTTAATTGCTAAAATTCCCTAAATATCTCACAATTCCGATGGATTTTCTTATGTTTTTGTGACTTAGTAGCTTATCCTGCTAATTCTTCGTAGACAACGTACATAACAACGAAACGATCACTTACATTATTGCAGAAGGAGCTCCAGCTACTGAGCAAGTCGTGACCTTCCCTGAGGAACAAGCCGAACCTACAAAGATTGGTAATTTTAATATCAAATACTATTTGAGAAAACGATATCATGCCTAAATTGCGATTAAACCTCTAATGATATCGGCGAAAATGAAATTTAACTTTTTACATTTACGCGAGTAAACACCCGCTAATGACATAATTTTTCGAGTCATTATCACAACTCTCAAATCGCTTTTTCATCGAATATTTTCATTTCCTCAGCACCTGTTGAAAAAATTACTGCAGAGATTCAAGACGAGCCGCAGATGATGATTCACCGCACAGAAATTGTGAACATTGAAACAGGTATTAAGACGTTGCACTGGTATGAATTGTCAACCAAAGAGACTGCACCAAACACGAAACAATCTCTTGCCTTGTTCAGATTGCGAATACGTTTAAAGATCTATTTTCACACATCTATTTTATTCTTAGACCGTGGTGTGCATATAATTATTCACATTCATTCACTATTCATTTCAGCTCCCGTCGAAGAAGTCACGGTCAAAACCACGAAAAAGATAAGGAAGAAGATTCGTTCCGAAGTACAGACTTCAGAAGTAGTTGAAGGTATAACTTTCTAATCATACGTTACGAAAATGAAAACGCCAACACAAATCAGAATCATACCATATGTTTGAAAATTCACTCGTGTTATATTTTATTTTGAGGCAACCTAAGCTATGGCTACTTCAGAAAATTAGGAGATTATTGTTTTAAAAAACTCGGTTCAAAGAAATTCATGATTTTATTGAATGTCAAGGTTACTAAACCAAAATGTCCCTCTCGAGTTACAAGATCACGACAGAAAGTATTATTGCACATTTGATTTCAGCTTTACCTTGCCTCTTTTTGCAAGTAATTTTACTGATTGTATTTCTAGCGGCGACACTTCCTTCTCAAAAGGCCTCAGATATTATTGAGGAAGCTCCTGAAGATCACGTCGAAGTACTGCATATAGGTATTCCGTATGATTAACTTGCAAGGATAGCTTATCGTTTTGTTTCATATTGTTAAGAGCATTGAATTATTTTATTATATGATGCCGTCCAATTTTTGAAATCCATAGTTTACAGACGATGAGGTTAAAGTCACATTACACGAGTGCATTGTTTCATCAATACGACCTATGTTTAACAGCCGCACCTCAGCGAGAAACAGCTCAGTCTCGAGAGTACACGGTTCAATCACACACCGCTCAAGTTACCCAAGTTACAACAGGTAAAATAAACTGGCTTGCTCCCACCTCTGACGCTACACTAATATATACATCCCCCCAACGAGGATTCTTTTACATGATTCAGTTACTTCTCTACTGTAATTTTACCCGATTTCGACAGCATGACATAAATTAAGAGATTTCAATGAAAACCTGATACCAATCTTCATCTATAACATGGTACATAATTTTTATGAATTTAAAACTTTGTTTCTTCCAAATTCTTCCTCAGTCTTGGTTTTGAATTTCGATCTGATTCGATTTCTGGTAAACCAGTTCATCGAATGGTCTCCACAGTTTTTTTCAGCATGTCTGGTTTACCTCAGTTTTTATACCCATGAGTTCTCAACTTTTGCATGCTTTTCCTGCCGGATTTCTCTTGAAGATATGTCATGAATTGCACGATTTGACTAAATTTTTACAGAGCCCAGCCCATGCAGAGGCATTCCTAGCCGTGTGTAACTGAGCATGCGTCGTAAAGTCATATCTTTTTCAGATTTCTCCAGAAGCGGCGATGTTCATGTCTTTCCATCGTCTGGTATCCGGAAACTTTTTGAAGCATCTCAGGGCGGCACTACTAATATAATAATACCTTCTTAATTTCGTTCATGGATCGCTAATAGTGAAAATGAATGCCTTCTCTAATGATCCCTTATATCCTTGTTTCTCTGCAGCTCTTAACTTTTCTCGATTATTTTAAATATTTGTCTAAGTTCCACCAGGTTACACCCACTTTATCTCTGCCCTCTCGAACATCTAACACACAGTTCGTATCATTACCATTTGCAGAAGAATGCGTGCCAGGATTTAAGGCTCTTCTTCGCATCGCCAAGGACAGTAAATTCGATCTGGAGACCGTTGAGGCAGAAGAATGGCAGACGCCTGAAATTCGGCAAGATCTTGCAAAGCTCAACCTTGAGGTAAAGAAAGGAGCTCAAGTCCAAGAACTCATGACAATGCTCAAGGAAGGAGATTTCCCTGCTCTCAAGGCTTCTGAACACCAAGCATCGATTTTAGAAGTTGCGAGTCGCATGGAGAAAGCAGTCGTTACTGAAGTGCTCGTTCACGAAGCCTCCTACAAGAAAGAGAAAAGTATCGGGGCGAAAACTCTTCTAAGATCCATCGAACGAGGACAAGAGACGGTTGAAGATATTATTATGGATGTATCCCGCGAGTTTGGACCTCTGTCTGTTCCTGCCAAAGAAGTCGCCGCAGTCGGTCATCTGTTGAAAGAAGGAGTTCGATGCGACGAAGTCGTCACCATGATCGACGCCGGGCTGCTACCGGGCCTGCAGAGTCCTCAGGCTCAATTGCCTTTGGTATCAATGGTCAGCAACAAGGGGCATACCGGAGTCGTTTTTGAAGTTCTCGTTGAAGAATCAACAAAAGAATTACTGCATCAAGCTCCGAAACCTACGTCTGCCGAAATGACTGAATACAAGACTCGCTTGGTTAAAGCTAACGCTTCCAGTGCCGATGTCAAGAGTGAGTCTTTGGACGGTAGAATAACCAGCTGGAATTGTCTGCGTAGTCTGCCTGCTCTAACTGCTTTCTGTAGCCGATTCTCTTCAGAAGACGCTTTATCATCTACTTCTCTCTAGCCTACATAATTGCTTATTCTTTAGCTGGAATCTTTTAGAGGTTGGAATTATGGGCATCTCATTTTAGTTCCGAACTAAATTGTTTATTTTTCATTCAATTCGAAGGGAAATCTTCTTAGAGGTACTGTGCTACATACGAACCCAAAGTTCAACTGTTCAGCGTTCATCAGCATAATTTTCTAAAAATTCAATGTATTATCTACAGTTTTGACGATTCGGTTCATGAATGTGAGAAATCGATTATAATGCATTTAAGTTTTGTAGATAGTGGCGTTTACTGGAATCGCACTGTTGCGTCACACATATAGTTTACGAGTACTCGACTTCAATTAACATCTCATTTAGACAAAATAATGGATTTCTCTGCTTGTGCACTCTAACCCAGCTTCCAAAACTATTCATCAATTTCTTTATAATGTTGAGCCATAAATACTGAATGATTAAATCAGTAATAAAGAATCTTTTTTACGTACATCGTTCTCCCAAGAATTCTAGTGCTGTTTTTACAGCAGTAATACAGGACCACAACCAAATGTTTTATTGCCAGTTGTGTCGTATTCAATAAGATGTACCGACGTTATCCCATTTACTCTGAAATAATTCTTACGTATACTTCTTACACGAGTTCATTGTTTCAAAAAATAATTGAATCTAGTTGTAGCATACAACAGCCGGTAAGTTAGGTCAGGCGTTTTGATTGTTTTGTTTTCCCTGTTTTGTTTTTCGAGTGACCTATTCTCAGGCGTAAACACTCTAAAGTGATTATTAATATGGTATATTACCATGCAGCTAAATTAGAAGATTTTCAAATATTGACGAAGTATCTGATGGAAGTTCCGAATATGGGCACATAAAAGTGTCCTTGATGATGTGACCGATATATCTTCGGAATTATCAATTTCTAGGTACACTATTTACTGGTGGTGCATTAAAGCACTATTTTTGGGGGTTTATATCATTATCTATAACGAGTTCCTTCACTATGCATTTTTCTGGAGCATATCCCCGATTCAAATTCTTTTTGTTTGAAGGATTGCGATTACGAAGGTGATCTGATGACGCAAAAATTGTTATTCAAACTTTCTTTTTGTTTTGTTCTAAAGCATTCACGAAAGAAATGGCGCCAGGCGTGAAGGCTTACGTCGAAATGGCTGAAGATGCCGCCGTGGCCATTGACGACGTCGTGGAGAGAAGTGAGGTGAAGTCTGAAATGAAGAAAGAGATGAAAAAAGTTTCTCAGCTGGTGAGGCAAGGAGTGAACGCCGAAGAAGTCCTGACTTTGTTGGAAGCAGGCGAGTTCCCTTCGCTGATGAAAATCGAGGCTCAAGCCGAACTCCTGAACGTGGTGGAAGAATGTGGCTTCTCCGCCATAGTCAACAAAGTCACCATTGATGAGGCGATACAAAGGAGCGAGAAGGCTATTGGGGCAAAAGCTTTCGTAAAAATGATGAAAGAGGCCAATGTTAACATTCAGGAGATCATGACTGAGAGCATCCCGAAAGAATTCGGCCCAGACTTCCAAGCGCCTTTGCAGGAAGTTGCTCAAGTCTCCATGATGATGAAAGAAGGCATTCAGGCCGAGGAAATCATCGAACTGATGGAAGCTAACCAACTACCGCATCTGAAGAAGCCCGAATCTCAAGCTCCTCTGCTGAAGGTCGTGGAGCAGCAAGGACAGAGAGCTTTAGTGTGCCAAGTGCTCATCGAAGAGTCAGTCAAGGACATTAAACAAGGTGACCATGTTTACCGTATCCTTGGCACACCTATGCTTACACTAACACTGTTCCTGCGAAGCGCTCAAATGGCTTCGATATGACACAGTTCGCACGCTTAAAACTTTATTTTAACATATGGAAATCCGCAGACTGGCACACATAATTTACATTTCGTCAGCCCATGTTTATTTACATAAATTTTCTTCAGATTTGTGTTCTTACTTCGACATCTCGGAGTTTTTTTATTTTTTTTTGTTTCGCCATGTATTTCTTATCAAAGCTATTTTAAATTAAGTTTTGATTTGCTTTTCAAGTATTTTTTTACTTTTTCCCTGGTATACTAACCGCATTTATATTCAGATGCATATCGTGTACACCATGACTTAGGAATACATACATGAGTTATAGTTTTGTTCAACCGTTATCACTGACACGCACGAATTTTATTTTTCATATAGATTATCAGTTGTCGTTGGGAACTTTCTAATAGTAAATTATCTACCTTTCCGGTGATTTATTTTATATTTTCCAGGCCTTCCTAAGGTGGACATGGCATCAGTCAGCTCCGTTCCATCCCTGACGACCGCTTCGGCTTCACAGGTCGTTGTTAAAGGTACGTGTCGGTTTAATTAATTTCGTTACCTTCGGCGGTAAGATTCAATAATTATCGATACGCGCAATGATGCACACGCGTCGCTTCACAATTTTCGTGAACCCAACACCAGGTTTCAGGTCCTGCAGTTCAGATCGAAACCCTGTCGCCGCGTGTGAATTGAGCTGCCTGAAGCGGCGGCAGCTCTCAATCATTCTAACAAATACCGCTTAGCGAAGCATTTGGAAAATATAACGACAGGGGCTACTTTGTTCTTCCCATGAAGAATGTTGTTTAGCTATTGGTTTTAATGCTTGCAATTACATTTCCAACTTCATATTCAGTTTGCTCATGAATTTTTGAATATATAATTTAATATATTAAATAACCTAAATTATGTTTATTTTACATTAATGGCAGAATTATATGTTGGTCCCTACATTTGAGTTAGTTTGTTTAATAATTGTTATATGTTGGTGTTTGATACGTAGTGAGCAAATATGTTTCATATATGTTGGTGTTTAATACGTAGTAAGCAAATAATACTTACTTCATTGCTTCTTAGTCCAATTTTTGTCCCTGCTGTGTGAGAAATAAATTCCTGCTATCGTTCCTGTAGTTTTTCTTGTACAATTCTAGTCTTTCCTCACAATCAATGTGCTTCCATTACGTTCATGCAACTCTTGTGCTTTATATTCATAATTCAGTCATCATTTAACTTCTCTGTGGGAATGTGAATCCAGTTTTGCCAACTTGCCATCCAGCCGCGATATTTAACTTACAGAATGACGACTTGAACAAACAATGGCTGTTAGCCTCTGCTCTCAGTACATGACCTCTCACTAACTGGATGCATGTATCTCGAGTCTTAATCGTCAATTTTTGACATTGTTAGCAGATGCAAAACAAGGAATAATTTCTCAAGTTTTGATGTAATTATTATATCCTGGGGCCAAAGACTTGGGAATGTATTTTTGTTTGTTTCATGACCAAAATTCTCTTTATTTGTCCAATCCTAACAGTTCCCGCCCCGCATCAACGTGGTCACCATGTTTTGTCCTGACCCACCCCTCCGCCACCCAACTTCTCCCATCCACGTTCCCACACTACACCTGGAGTCCACTTGTCCTTTTATCATGTTCGCCATCAATCCCTGTCGGTTACCGTTAAACTAGCCGAATTTTACAAAGTTGTTTGATTTTTGTAAGTTAATTCACTGATGTGAGATCGGAATTTATCTGTGAATTTCTATGGATACCGGAAAAATACATTGCAATGAATAAAAATATTTATTGAGCAGGTGAAACTTTTTTCTGCTCCTTTGATCGTTCCCATATTCAATTCAGTTGTAGTTTTTTATCTAATAGATTTTTGTCGCACAAAAAACTTCAGCTAATTATGTGACTGACTTATTAGCAAATGATCTTATTTATATGAATCCCATACCGATATTTAGCTTGCTAATGTTATCGTAAATTTCAATTTATCATTTTTTTTGAGGAGTTTACAATGTATAAAATTTTGAGACCGATTTCAAATGAAGACAATAAGGCAGCATCTTAGAGCATAAACTCGTTTAAATAGATAATCCTCCGTATATTTAACTGTAATTTTTAATTATCAAAGATTCAAAACCTCACGGATACAGTTGCGTAATACATGTCTAGAAAAAGCCAACTACATCGACTGAAAGAAATGTTACAAAAATAACTCTCTGAGATCAAATAAAAGCGATCGAGTAAGAGTAATATATTGACAAGCGCCCCACTGTTATTGACCGTTTGAAGTTGACTGTGTGATGCCCAATCCATATTTTTTACTCAAAATGATCTTATGTGTTGCATCTTATTTGCATTCTATTCCAATTCCTTGCACAAACTTTTAACATAAGTAATGTGGAATAGGCATAATTTGTTAGATGTTTTCAGGGTTACCACGAAATGTGTGAATGCGTGCCTATTATTTTATTTGTACTAACTCTTAATGTTGTCTACCTGTAATTACTGACGATATTTTTCGCATAATTTTAATTTCTTTCGCCTTAGTCCCACCAATAACCAGCCTACCAATTTGTCAGTTTCCATGCCACTATTCCCAGAGTGATCCGCTAGAATTAGATAAATAAATGACTGAAAGAGATTATAGTGCCTATATGGTTCAACATCGATTTCCTTTAACTAAATCCTAACTCCGTTTATATATATATATATATATATGTTAAATATTTTCACTTCAATCGATAATCGGCGAATCGATGAACATGTAGTCATGTCCGAAAATGTCATGCATTTGTTGTATGTTTTGCTGCATTCAGTTTTCAAGCTTCACAGTCATTTTTCTAGTGCTTAACTACATCGCTGCTTATTTTTTATAACTCAAGCGCAGCCTCTGAACTGGAATAACACAGAACATATGTCTGCGATTAAATCCATTTAAATTTGTGGCGTGTTTGTATATATTTTTTGAATTCACTAGTTAGCAGAGAAATGTTTGATTTTTGCTTACATTTAGTATTAATTCCGTTGATGTCTGATGATACGAGTAAGTTAAGTAGCCATAGTCCTATTATTACGATTCTGTATTATTTTTAAAGGCTTTAGTATTTATTATAGAGTTTTGTACACTTATGATAATCATTCCTCTTGACTCCTGCCGCTTGTGTATTTTTTTACCAGCACATTCCAACTATTTTAATTGAGATTAAAATGTATCTCACTATGCTGTATGCTGATTATTTCCTTATCATTGAGAATTTACCGGAACCTATTTGATGATGACTGGACATGAGAAATATGTTGGCGATGTTATTTCGTGCATATTTTTTATTGTATATGCGTGTCATTTTTCATATTTCTTCTGATTCCAGGTTAATTGAATATATTTAATTAATTTTCTGGGTAGTTAATGCAATGTAACCGGTTTTACAGCTGATGTTTCTCTAAATGAAGTGTGGGCTCAAAACAAGGTTCTCGGTGCATCCAGAATGAAAAAAGAATTACCTTATTTAATTACAGATTCGAGTATGGAGTGAATTCTTTCTATTTTTTATTACCAGAAAAGTTTATGAAAATAATGCACTACACAGTGACAGACGTACGACTGTGTTGACCAAAAATGGAAGCAACTAAAAATTTCTAATAAATTCATTTGCTTGTTCTGAATTTAGTTAGAGCTCAAATATCTATTCTTTCGATAGGAATCGCGTTTCTCTTATGAATTTTTACTATCTTTATTTTGGCGAAGGTAACACACTGATCAAGCATCACTGAAGAACATCAACATTAATTCTAGTTTCGAAGGCACAGAGGAAAAGTTATATTTTTCTTTCGCATATTATGATTGTATTTTTTCAACAATTCAACCTGAAGAATTTGGATGAAATCTATTTTTCGAAGATAGTTCGAGCAGCAAATTTTCTTCATGTAAAGATCCCAGCTGTCTGGGATATCGGTTCAAATTTTAATAAATATTTTCTGCAGTGAACGACAGAGAATCGTGGCTCAAGAAGATAAATTTTTTTCCAGAAACCCAAAAGCAGAAGCACACGCAAGAAGCTGAACATGAACAAGGTTGGCCATTCTTTGCTGTTTATTAAGAGTTGAATAATTGTTCTCGGTTCTGCCTGCTGCTAAGTTAGACTCAACAACGCTTGCCTGATCAATTATGTTTCTTTTTCAGCAAGTATTTTAATTTAGTTAATTTATGAATTTTTCATCTCGCATTGAAATAACGGCAAAACTATACGCTAAAAAATTACGATACACCAAGAAAACACAGTACAAAAACCATTTATGATATAATTTTTGTCTCCGAATAACCTCATTACTTTGATGTTAGGACAATTTAAATAATTCCTATAGCAGTCTGAAAATTAAACCTTTTCCTATAGAGCCTGATGCCTAATATAAACCCCCGCATGAGGGTTAATAATTAAATCGTACAGGCAATAACTAAATCGTACAGATATAATTATTGCCCCCAGATGCCTAGAGTGATACTCTTCAATGGGTCTCTTTTTTTCTTCAATCTAATGCTTAATAGAAATATTTATTATTTTCCATATTTATTATAATAAATATATAATTATTATATTTAAATATTTATTATTTTCCATATTAACCTGTGCATTATTTTAAATATTTTATTATTTTACTATGAGATTTCGTTCTATATTTGAATCACGAGTTTATATGTTAATACAGTGAGGCTTCTTTTCAGATTTTCGCTGTGCGACAACTCAATAACCATTTGCTCTCTTGTGTTGATTTGTGTTTGTTGTTCTCTGATGTAATCTTATCATAAAATTAAAAAAGATTTTCGTTACCAGCATACTTCATCAAGTGATATGAATGTACGCAAGCTTATGCCATAGAATTTTTGGACCGGGTGATAGTGTGCGTTCTTACAAGTATATTTTAAAACCTAAATTATTCATATCTGCAGCTCAGGCTTAAATATATTTTTCTTTTAGCGAGAAAAAGGTGCGCATTATTTAGTCTTCAGGATAAAGTTTGCAGGAATAGGCCGTTGGTATTTGAAATTTTAAAGCCAACGTACTGGGGGAGTGGAAACTCAATTTTAGCAGTCGACGTGTGATCGGACGTATCTTGCATCGTTTCCACGATTGGTGAACTCGGCTTTACTTCCCAAGATGCAACGAAGGGAAGTAATTAGAAACGAATTTGCATCGCCAAGTTAAACATAAGAATAAATGAATCTGTGCCTACGACTCTTTTAAATAACATGTAACTTGTGGAACTCGAAAGGTACGGAAAATAATGCCAGCTCCGGAACGCTTATGAAGACTGAATCTAAGCATCGCGGCTTGTTTGTATTTCTTCTTGATTTATGATTTATGTTTTTGTTGTTTTCTGTTGTCATCTTACCTAAAATATTGGTTTCATTCCTTTTAAACGATTGTTTTTCCTAGATTTTTTTGGTATGTCAACTTCAATTTTCAATATTTAGTAAAAAAAAATATTGGTCAAAGGTGCAGCTTTTGCTTTAATTATATTTTTTTA